ATTACTAAAGCCTTGTAGTGTAATTTGAAGTTGGGTATGTGATGCCTCTGGTTTTGTTTTTGTTGTTGTTTTTTGTTTTTGTGTGTGTGTGCACCTATCATCCCCACCTGTGCACATTGTACCCAATAGGTGATTTTTCTTCTTCCCACCTTTTCCCACCCTTCCTCCCTGGTTTTTGTTTTTTTTTTTTTTTGAGTTGGAGTCTTATTCAGTTGTCCAGGCTGGAGTGCAGTGGCACACTCACGGCCACCGCAGCCTTGACCTGGTGGGCTCAGGTGATCCTTCCACCTCAGCCTTCCAAGTAGCTGGAACTACAGGCATGTGCCACCATACCCAGCTTGTTTGTTTATTTTTGAGTTGGAATCTCACTCTGTTGCACAGGCTGGAGTGCAGTGGCATGCTCACAACCACCACAGCCTCGACCACTGGATTCAGACAATCTTTCCACCTCAGCCTTCTAAGTAGCTGGAACTACAGTCATGCATCACCATGCCCAGTTAATTTTTTGATTTATTGTAGAGATGAGATCTTGCCAAGTTGCCCGGGCTAGTCTTAAACCTGTGAGCTCAAGCAACCTCTCACCTCGACCACCCAAAGTGCTGGGATTATAGATGTGAGCCACTGGCCACTATCCTCTGCGTTCTAAGTCTCTGGTCAGAGTCTATTATACCAGGGATCCCCAACCCCCGGGCCACGGACCAATACTTGTTAGAAACTGGACTGCACAGCAGGAGGTGAGTGCCAGGTGAGTGAACAAAGCTTCACTTGTATTTACAGCTGCTCCCCATCACTGGCATTACAGCCTGAGCTCCGCCTCCTGTCAGATCAATGACAGCTTAGATTCTCATAGGAGCATGAAACCTACTATGAACTGCACATGCGAGGGATCTAGAAATTAAGTGCACAAATAATACCAAAAGCATCCCCACCCCGACCCTCCAGTTTATGGAAAAATTATCTTCCACAAAACTGTTCCCAGCTGGGCTCGGTGGCTCAGCCTGTAATCCCAGCACTTTGGGAGGCTGAGGTGAGTGGATTGCCTGAGCCCGCGGGTTCGAGACCTGCATGGGCAACTTGATGAGACCTCATATCTACAATAAATCAAAAATTAGCCGGGTGTGGAAGCGCACGCCTGTAGTTCCAGCTACTTGGAAGGCTGAGGCGGAAGGATCGCCGGAGCCCAGCAGGTCGAGGCTGTGGAGTCCGGGAGTGGCCACTGCACTCCAGTCTGGGTGACAGAGTGAGACTCCAACTCAAAAAAAAAACAAACAAAAACAACTGTTCCCTTATGCCAAAAAGGTTGGGACCACTGCATTATTTCATTCTAAATGCCTTAGGAGACCCTTAGCTTTGCTCCCACTTTTAAATCAGAACATGCAGTATTTTGTTTTCTGTTCCTGGATTAGTTCACTTAGGACGATGTCCTCCAATTTCATACAAGTTGCTGCAAAAGACATGATTTCATTATTTTTTATGGCTGAATAGTATTCCATGGTGTGTGTGTGTGTGTGTGTGTGTGTGTGTGTAGAAAAATACATAAACACACACATTTTCATTATCCACTGATCTCAGTTCATCGGTATTTAGGTTGATTTCACATCTTTGCAATTGTGAATTGCACTGTGGTAAGCATCCAAGTGCAGGTGTCCTTTTTGTATAACGACCTTTGTTCCTTTGGGTAGATACCCAGTAGTGGGACTGGTGGATCAAATGGTAGATCTACTTTTAGTCCTTTGTGAAAGCTCCCTATCTATTTCCATAGAGTTTGTACTAATTTATACTCCCACCAACAACGTATAAGCATTCTCTTTTCACCACTTCTGTGCCAGCATCTACTGTTTTTTTCTGTGCCAGGATCTACTGTTTTTTTCACAATTTCTGTGCCAGCATCTATTTTTTTTCTGACTGGTGTAAGGTGGTATATCTCATTGTGGTTTTAATTTGCATTTCTCTGATAATTAGTGATGTTGAGCATTTTTTCGTTTGTTTGGCCATTTGTATATCTTCTTTTGAGAGGTGTCTGTCATTTGCCTACTTTTTTTGAGTTGGAGTCTCACTCTGTTGACCAGACTGGAGTGCAGTGGTACACTCCTCGTCACCGCATTCTCAACCTGCTGGGCTCCAGTGATCCCTCTACCTCAGCTTTCCAAGTAGCTGGAACTATAGGCACACACTACCACGCTGGATAATTTTTTATTTATCATAGAGATGAGGTCTCGCCAGGTTGCTCGGGTGGGTCTTGAACCCACGGGCTCAGAGAATCCACTCACCTTGGCCTCCCAAAGTGCTGGGATTACAGGTTGAGCCACCGAGCCTGGCCCACTTTTTTTTTTGCATTGGAGTCTTACTCTGTGGCCCAGGCTGGAGTTCAGTGGCATGCTCACTGCCACCACAGCCTCGATGCACTGGGCTCAGGTGATCCTTCTGCCTCAACCTTCCAAGTAGCTGGAACTATAGGCATGAACCACCATTCCAGCTAATTTTTTGATTTATTGTAGAGACAAGGTCTCACCAAGTTGCCCAGGCTGTTCTCAAACTCGTGGGCTCAGGCAATCCTCTCACCTCATCCTCCCAAAGTTCTGGGATTATAGGCATGAGCCACTGTGCCTGGCATTTGCCCACTTTTTAATGGGGTTATTTACTTTTTTCTTGCTAATTTGAGTTCTTTGCAGATTCTCAAGATTAGGCTTTTGTCAGATGTATAGTTTGTGAATATTTTCTCCTATTTTGTAGGTTGCCTATTTGACTACTTCTTTTGCTGTTCAGAAGGTTTTCGTTTAAGTTCCACTTATTTATTTTTATTTTTGTTGCATTTCCTTTTGGGGTCTTAGCCATAAGTTCTTTGTCTACACCAATGTCCAGAAGAGTTCCCTGTTTTCTTCTAGGATTTTTATGGTTTCAGGTCTGACATTTAAGTCTTTAGCCCATCTTGAGTTAATTTTTGTATATGGTTAGAGATAGAGATCCAATTTTCCCAGCACCATTTGTTGAATAGGGTGTCCTTTTTCCAGTGTATGTTTTTGTCTGCTTTGTCAAAAATCAGTTGGCTGTAAGTATCTGGGTTTATTTCTCAATTCTGTATTCTTTTCCATTGGTCCATGTGTCTGCCCTTGTATCAGTATCCCATGCGTTTTGGTTAGTAAAGGCTTGTAGTATAATTTGAAGATGGGTAATGCAATGCCCTTAGTTTTTTCTTTTTGCTTAGGATTGCCTTACTTATTCGGGGTCTTTTATGGTTCCTTATGACTTTTAGGATTGTTTTCTTCTAATTCCGTGAAAAATGACATTGGCAGTTTGACAGGGATGCATTGAATCTGTAGATTACTTTGGGTAGTATGGTCATTTTAACAATGTTGATTCTCCCAATCCTTTAGCATGGAATATTTTTCCATTTGGTTGTGTCCTCTATGATTTCTTTCATCAGTGTTTGGTAGTTCTCCTTATAGAAATCTTTTACCTCCTTGCTTAGATATATTCCTAGGTATTTTATTTTTTTGGCAGCTTTTGAGATTGATTTCTTGATCTGATTCTCAGCTTAGTCATTATTGGTATGTAGCAATGCTACTGATTTGTATGTGTCAATTTTATAATCTGAGACTTTATCAAGTCCAGGAATCTTTTAAAGGAGGCTTTAGGGTTTTCTAAGTATAAGATATCAGCAAGCCGGGCTCGGTGGCTCAGCCTGTAATCCTGCACCTTTGGAAGGCTGAGGTGAGTGGATTGCCTGAGCCTGCGGGTTCGAGACCCGCCTGGGCAACTTGGGGAGACCTCAACTCTACAATAAATCAAAAACTAGCTGGGCGTGGTAGTGCACGTCTGTAGTTACGGCTACCTGGAAGGCTGAGGTGGAAGGATTGCCAGAGTCCAGCAGGTCAAGGCTGCGGTGGCCGAGAGCAGCCACTACCCTCCAGTCTGGGCGTCAGAGTGAGACTCCAACTCAAAAAAAAAAAAAAGATATCAGCAAACAGAGATTATTTGATTTCTTATTTTCCAACTTGGATACCCTTTATTTCTTTCTCTTGCCTGATTGCTTTGGCTAGGACTTCCAAGAATATCCTTAAACTCCATGCTATGGTTTGAATATTTGTCTTCTCTAAAACTCATGTTGAAATTTAATCCCCAGTTTGGCAGTATTGAGAGGTGAGGCCTTTAAGAGGTGACTGGATCATGAATGAGAGCTCTACCCTCATTTATGGATTAATAGGTTAATGGGTTAATGGAGTAATGGGTTATCATGGGAGGGGAACTGGTGGCTTTATAAGAAGACGAGAGAGACTTGAGTTAGCATGTTAGCATACATAGCCTCCTTGCCATGTGAGTCCTTGCACTGCTTCAGGACTCTGCAGAGAATCCCCACCAGCAAGAAGGCCTTCACCAGATGCTGTCCCTCCACCTTCGTCTCCAGAACTGTACGAAATAAATTCAGCCAGGCTCGGTGGCTCAGCCTGTAAACCCACGCCTTTGGGAGGCTGTGGTGAGTGGACTGCCTGAACCCGTGGGTTCGAGACCCGCCTGGGCAACTTGGCGAGACCACATCTCTACAATAAATCAAAAATTAGCTGGGTGTGGTAGCACGCGCCTGTAATTCCAGCTACTTGGAAGGCTGAGGCGGAAGGATCGTCGGAGCCCACCAGGTTGAGGCTGCAGTGGCTGGGAGCGGCCACTGCACTCCAGTCTGGGTGACAGAGTGAAACTCCAACACAAAAAAAAAAAAGAAAAAGAAAGAAATTCATCTTCTTTATAAATTACCCAGTTTTAGGTATTCTGTTACAAGCAACAGAAAACAGATCAATATACTCCAGGAGACGTCTTACTATTTTAACCAAAAAATTACATAACAAAATTTTAATATTTACAAAGACTATGGACAATATTACAGAATTTGCTGTTTTATTAAATACCAATAAGCAGAATGAAGTATTTTAATCCCTTAGAACAACTGGTAGGATATAATACTTGCATATTAGGACACCGAAATATTTATATAATAGAATACTTACATAGTACAATCTCTTTCTTGAGGCAAGATTGCTTCATGTGAAGTTGAAACAGCAGAAGGGGATCTCGGATACAATTCATAACCTTCACTTGGAGGGATTATCTGCCTACCCAGAATCCTTCAAAACAAAGAGACAGACACAATTAAGCATCTTCACCTGGCATACATACAAAATCTAAATATTTTTGGAACAAATTTAATAGCTCTACATAGAAATCCAGTACACACTTAGTTTGATAATGACTAAGAATGATTATTGAGAGGAAACATGATTCTAGAGCCTTATTAGAGGTATATCTCTCTTCCATAGAATGAAGATGGAAAAGATAAAACTGTAGCCCAGGGGCTTAAAAAGAAAACATCCAAGGAAACTGAACAAGCATTTATAATTTGCACTTCAACGTCTATAATAATCCTCATTAAATCAGCCAAAGTGAAATGAAGTATCAGTCAAGTTAGTAAAAACTTTGAATTATTATTTTTTTTGAGTTGGAGGCTCACTCTGTCGCCCAGGCTGGGGTGCAGTGGCACGCTCACAGCCATCCCAGTGTCGACCTGCTAGGTTCCAGTGATCTTTCTGCCTCAGCCTTCCAAGCAGCTGGAACTATAGGCGTGTCCTATCATGCCCAGCTAATTTTTTGATTTATTGTAGAGACAAGGTCTTACCTTGTTGCCCAGGCTGGTCTTGAATCCACAAGCTAAAGCAATCCTCTTACCCCGGCCTCCTAAAGTGCTAGGATTTCAGGTTTAAGCCACTATGCCTGGTGCGAATTATATTTTTTCTTTTTTTTTTTTTTTTGAGTTGGTCTCACTCTGCCGCCCAGACTGGAGTGCAGTGGCACGCTCCTGGCCACCTCAGCTTCGACCTGCTGGGCTTCGGCAATCCTTCCGCCTCAGCCTTCCAAGTAGCTGAACTACAGGCGTGCACTACCACACCTGGCTAATTTTTTGATTCATTGTAGAGATGAGGTCTCACCAAATTGCACAGGTGGGTCTCGAACCTGTGGGCTCAGGCAATCCACTCACCTCAGCTTCCCAAAGCACGGGATTACAGGCTGAGCCACCAAGCCCGGCTCTGAATTATATTCTTAAAAACATGAAGCTTTATGAACTTCAAGTATGTACAGTAAGTGGTACTATTGTAATCTCTGAGGAAGCTCATGAACAGCCTTTATCTATTTTCAAGAATAGGCAAGAAGTTAATTGTAAACAACAGTATAAACAGATAAATTTTCTGACCATTTTATTAAAAAAAAAGTCTCTGTGGACAACCATGATACCCAGACCTCAGTTACTGGTATAAATTATTTTACCTGATTGGGATGACTTATTGTTAGTTATGGAAATGCTAAGAAACTTCTACCAACTTGAATCTTCTCTTAGCTAAGGCTTTATACCACACAGCCTTATTTATATTCATTAAAATTATGCCCTTAAAGATTTTAGAATACAAGTTTTGTTTTTTTTTAATTTGCTGCTTTTTTTTTTTTAAGAAAGCAGGATTTATTGAGAGGACAGAAAAGCCCGAAGGGGTTGCCCAATTTGCTGCTTTTGAAAAATTTTAGTATTACCCATGAATAAAGTCAACTATAGGGTTTTAATACCTGAGGTGAGGAAAGCTAGCTGTCCACTGTTGGCACTCTTCTTGTAGACTCTCTGTATGCACACTCAACTTCTGCTCGTACAAGAGCTCATCAATGGCTGTGAACATTGCCTCAACTTTTTCAGTGGCATTTTGATCAAGTTCCTAGAAGAAAATATGCCCCAAAACATTTATGTGAGCTTCAATCCCTGTTACAAATTACAAAGACTAAAAGCAATGTGATTTTGTTTTGTTTTAAATATTTAGTCCATTTTAAATACTGTTGTGTTTCCATGAAAGAAAAGTTAAATGAGTGCGTTTTCATATCTCAGAATTTTCCCAATGTCTTCTCTATTCCTATTTAAAGAAGATTTACATAAATTTCTATTTTTTAGGCTGGTCTAAATGTAGTGGTGTTTACAACTCATTGATCACAACCAGTTACATATTTCTTTGTTCCTTTTACACTCCATTGTTTCACTTGACTAGCCTTAAAAAAAGAGAAATATCTTTTTTTTTTTTTAAGCAACATTTTTCCCAGCCTGTAATCTCAGCACTTTCGGAAGCAGAGACAGAAGGATTGCTTGAGACCAGGAGTTTGGGACCAGCCTGAGCAACCTCTACAAAAAAAAAAAAAAAGAGTTAGCCAGGTGTGGTGGTATGCACTTCTAGTCCCAGCTATTTGGGAGGCTGATACAGGAGGTCTGCTTGAGCCTAGGAATTGGAGACTGTGATGAGTTGTCATCATGCCACTGCACTTTAGCCAGGGCAACATAGTGAGACCTTGACTCAAAAAAAAAGTAATGTTTTCCTTGTTATATAAATACTTTGCTTATTGAAAATATTTTGAAAATATAGAAAAGTACTAAGAAAAAAATAAAAATTATCAATAATTCCACCAGTTAAATAGCTAATTTTAGTATAGTTGCTTGATTCCATTATGTTTTTATAGCAAAAGGTAAACAGATAACCCTGTATATATTACTTTGAATTCTGCATCTTTCACTTGACAATCTGTGATATCCTTGTTCCTGTAATTCATCCTTTAAGAACAGTCAGAAGACCAGGTGCAGTGGCTCACGCTCATAATCCCAGCAATTTGGGAGGCTGAGGTTGGGGAGGGATTGCTTGAGGCCAGGAGTTCTAAACCAGTGTAGGAAATAAAGTGAGACCACCCCGCCCCGCCATCTCTTAAAAAAAATAGCCTCAGTAGCGCACTCCTCTAACCCCAGCTACTCAGGAGGCTAAGACAGGAGGATTGTTTGAGCCCAGAAGTTCTAGGTTTTGGTGAGCTGTAATTGTGCCACTGCACTCTAGCCTGGGTGACAAACAAACAAAAACGAAATCTATTCTTTAAAAAGTTAAACATAGAGTTTTCTTTTTCTTTTTTTTTTCTTTCTTTTTTTGAGTTGGAGTCTCACTCAGTCGCCCAGACAGTGGATGCTCCCGGCCACCGCAGCCTCGAACTGCTGGGCTCCGGCGATCCTTCCGCCTCAGCCTTCCAAGTAGCTGGAACTACAGGCGCGCGCTACCAGGCCCGGCTAATTTTTTTAATGTTGTAGAGATGAGATCTCGCCAAGTTGCCCAGGGGGATCTTGAACCCACGGGTTCAGGCAATTCACTCACTTTGGCCTCCCAAAGCGTGGGATTACAGGCTGAGCCACCGAGCCCAGTCAATCAGAGTTTTCATATAACCTAGTAATATCGCCTCAGCCCAGCAGGTCGACGCTGGGGTGAATGTGAGTTTGCCACTGCACTCCAGCCTGGGTGACAGAGTGAGACTCCAACTCAAAAAAAAAAAAGTAAGTCTAGGGATACACATTACAAAGTTGATTTGATGGCTCTATGGATATCAAAGACCCAGTTTCTTCTTTTGTTTCCATCCTCAGTGATGCTTCATGGTCCAGGATGGCTGCTGTATCTTTAGTCCTAGTTCTATGTTCTCGGCAGGAATTAGGAGAAAGGGGATAAATGGGAAAAAAATAGCATTCTAGAAAGTCCCATCTCCTGACTTCTATATAAAATTCATTAGCTTCTCTTACTTGTAACAGGTAGGAAAATAGGAGTATAATTTTCAGCTGGGTAAATGTCTAAAACTATATTGACAGAGTGATATTAATATAAGTATGTAAATCTCTAAGTTATAAGTGTCTAGAACATGGGTCAGCAACTATGGCCAGTGAGATAAATTCAGCCTACTGCCTGTCTTATAAATAAAGTTTTACTGGAATACAGTCACCCACACTTATTTGCATATTGTCTATGGCTGCATTCTCACTGCAGTAACAAGAGTTAAGGGTCCTTGATAAAGCCTGCAAAGCCTAAGGTACTTAGAGTTAATCTGGGTATTATTCTCAAACACATACACATTCTCTTAATACTTACACAGTTTTCTGTATAAGTTTTTTCCTAATCAACTCTACTGCATCTCATTAAAAAAAAAAAAAACTGGCAAAGCTGAAAAACTATGAAAATTCACTGTTTGGGCCAAGTGTGTAAGAAACAAGCCCTTTTGTACATTCCTGGTGGAATGTGCAGAATGGAATAACTTCTACAGAGGTCAGTTTGGCAACAGCTTCCAAAATTACAAAAGTATGGTATCTCTTGGCCAGCAGGTCCACCTCTAGAAATTTATACTCAGATATATTCACATTTATGTAAAATAATACATGTGCAGCCAAGTGCAGTGGCTCACACCTGTAATCCCAGCACTTTGGGAGGCAGAAGTGGGAGGATTGCCTGAGTCCAGAGGTTCAAGACCAGCCTGAGCAATTTGGTGAGACCCTGTCTCTGCAATAAATAAAAAAATTAGCCAGGTGTGGTGGTGCATGCCTATAGTTCAACTACTTGGAAAGCTGAGGTGGAAGGATTGCCTGTGCCCAGCAGTTCGAAGTTGTGGTGCCTTTGAGCATGCCACTGACCTCCAGCCTGGGCAACAGATTGAGATTCCGACTCAAAAAAGAAATGTATAAGGTTAAAATGCTGCATTTTTTTGTAATAGCAATTACTCTACAACCAACAAAGAACAAATACATTTTTTATAATATGGATATTCTTAAAAATATATTAAGTGTGGGCCGGCACGGTAGTTCATGCCTATAATCCTAGCACTTTGGGAGGCCGAGATAGAAGGATTGCCCGAGCCCATGGGTTCAAGACCAGCCTGAGCAACTTGGTGAGACCTCATCTCTACAATAAATCAAAAAATTAGTTGGGCGTGGTGGCATGTACCTATAGTTCCAGTTACTTGAAAGGCTGAGATGGAAGGATCATCTGAGCACAGCAGGTGGTGGCTGCAGTAGCTGTGAGTGTGCCACTGCACTCCAGCCTGGGCGACAGAGTGAGACTCCAAAAAAAAAAAAAATGGCACTGAACAGAGCATAATAAAAACTTTTATGTCAAATAAAATAATTAAAATGTACGAAGTTAGCAAAGGAATCCATTAAATTGGTTAATTAAAAATTCCTGTCTGGTTTTTTTTTGTTTTTTTTTTGAGTCAGTCTCATTCTGTGCCCAGGCTCATCATGGTTACTGTAGCCTGGCTACTTTTTGATTTATTGTAAAGACAAGGTCTCACCATGTTGCCCAGGCAGGTCTCTAACGAACTCCTGAGCTCAGGCAATCCTTTCACCTTGGCCTCCCAAAGTGCTGGGATTACAAGTGTGAGCCATATGCCTGGCTGGTTCTTTTTTTTTTTTTGAGTTGGAGTCACTCTGTCGCCCAGACTGGAGTGCAGTGGCCGCTCCCGGCCACCGTAGCCTCGACCTGCTGGGCTCCACTGATCCTTCCGCCTCAGCCTTCCAAGTAGCTGGAACTACAGGCGTGCGCTACCACGCCTGGCTAATTTTTTTTTTTATTGCAGAGATGAGGTCTCGCCAAGTTGCCCAGGCGGGTCTCGAACCCGCGGGCTCAGGCAATTCACTCACCTCAGCCTCCCAAGGTGTGGGATTACAGGCTGAGCCACCGAGCCCAGCTTGGTTCTTTTTTTTAACTGAAAAAGTTTTAGTACTTTGCAGCTTAAGTGGATATTTGCTATTCAACTGATAGTCTTTGCCAAGTTTCAAGGGTTTCTTTCTCCTACCTTACTGAGAATTTTGACAAAGAATAGTATTTAAATTTTATCAAATACTTTATCAGCATCTGTTGGTTTTATCATTTTTTCTTTATTTTACTGATATTAATTATATATTTTAAAATTATATTAATACATTTGCACATATGGGTCCATCTTTGTATCTATAGAATATAAATGAATTTTAAGTGATTATTTTTTAAGAAAATCAACCCAAAGTACATAAAAATAAGAACAGAATTGGACTGGTTATTTTTACTTTTGGCTGTAAAATTTTAAATATTAGATGTAATTAGAATAAAGAAGGAAGTCGGGCTCGGTGGCTCAGCCTGTAATCCCAGTGCTTTGGGAGGCTGAGATGAGTGGATTGCCTGAACCCACAGGTTCGAGACCCGCCTGGGCAACTTGGCAAGACCTCATCTCTACAATAAATCAAAAAATTAGCCGGGCGTGGTAGCGTGCGCCTGTAGTTCCAGCTACTTGGAAGGCTGAGGCGGAAGGATCGCCGGAGCCCAGCAGGTCGAGGCTGCGGTGGCCGGGAGCGGCCACTGCACTCCAGTCTGGGTAACAGAGTGAGACTCCAACTCAAAAAAAAAAAGAATAAAGAAGGAAAGAGTTCTTCCACACCATCATATTAACTTTGAATTTAAAATAGTACTTTAAAAGAAGTAAGCCTAAGATTATAAACCCAAGAATGATTATAAATAATAAATATATTTAGCAAACTAGTATGCCACTAATGAAATTGAAGAGGAACTATATTCCTGTTTACCAACAATAGCTCAAAAACACTAATTTCAAAAATAAGTAAAATTTATAACGAAAACATTCAATTTTAACACCTATTAACTTACAATAAGAGATTTGTAAAGTAAATAACAAATTGATAATGAAGACTAAAGTAAGATCTGAATGAAATGAAGGTTATATTCCAGAGTCTCAGTCTGTCACCCAGGCAGGAGTGCAGTGGCATGCTCACAGTCACTACAGCCTCAACTTGCTGGGCTCAGGCAATCCTTCCACCTGAGCCTCATGCAGCTGGAACTACAGGAGCTCGCCACCATGCTCAGGTAATTTTTTGATTTATTGTAGAGACAAGGTCTCACCATGTTGCTCAGGCTGGTCTCGAACCCCTGGGCTCAGGCAGTCCTCTCACCTCTGTCTCCATAAGTGCTAGGATTACAGGCATGAGCCACCACGCCCAGGCTGAAGACTAGAATTCTAAGTTCAGCTAAGATGACAAATGATTAAAACGTGTACATAAAGTGCTTAGAACAGCACCTGGCATCTACTAAGTACACAATAAATTTTAGTTCTCTCTGCACTTTTCCTAATTTAAGATAAGGGTATAATATAATGCTGATTTAATCCTTGATGAATATTTCATAAATATATACATATATATTTTTTAGTAGGATCTCATTCTGTCACCCCAGCCGGAGCGCAGTGGTACGCTCACGGCCACCACAGCCTCAACCTGCTGGGCTCAGGGATCCTTTTGCCTCAGCTTTCCAAGTAGCTGAAACCCCAGGCGCACACCACCACACCTAGCTAATTTTTTAATTTATTGTGGAGATGAGGTCTTGCCAAGTTTCCCAGGCTTGTCTTGAACACCTGGACTCGGGTAATCCTCTTGTCTCAGCCTACCAAAGTGCTGGGATTTATAGGCATGAGTCACTGCGCTGGCTATAAAATTTAATACAAGTGAAAATAAAATTTATGCAAAATAGTAAGGTAGACACAAATACTAAATAATATATGTTGTTTAATGATCACTGGCAGATTTACCCTGAAAATTTTTAAAATATCATGAAACTACATGACAATAAGGCAAATACAGAAAAATGTTTTTAAACAAAATAGTTTCAATAGCATAAGAACTTAATTCATACTTGATACCATATACTGTTTTAAAAGTCTAGGTGACTTAAAAGCTAAACACATAAAATTCTGTTAAAAAGTCATGAAAAATAATATTATAACATTCTGTTTTTCTAAAGAGAAAATTCTAACTAGTGAGGAAATGAAGATAAAAAATGAGATGTTATATATGAATCTTTTTTAAAATGTCAAACAATAAATACCAAAAGGAAAGCAAGGGAACGGGAAACATCCATATGACATTTATGACTTATGAAGAAATACTAATCACAATATAGTGAGAACTAATAGAAATATAGTCAGTACACTAAATCAACCTGATAAAGCATCAAATTAGGATAGGTTTTTCTTGTTTTTGTTTCTGTTTTTAATAGAGACGTGGTCTTGCTATGTTGCCCAGGCTGGTCTTGAACTCCTTGGCTCAAGAGATCCTCCTACTTCAGTCTCCCAAAGTGCTGGGATTGCAGGTATGTGCCACCAAGGGCAGCCTGCGGCATCAAATTAATTAATTAATTATCTTAGAATAAAATTTAAATTCTTTACTGTGGTTTGAAAGGAGCTACATGATCTAGTGCTGGTCTTTTTTGTGCTTTTCTCCTCCTGGTTCACCATCCTCCAACCAACCTGACATTTTTTTTTTTTAGTTCCAAGAACACACCAAACACCGTCCCTTAGAAACATGAAGCTCTTCTCCTCCTTGGGGCTTTTGCATATGCTTCTGATATCCTGTTTGGAAAGCTCTGCTCCTCACTCTTCAAATGGCTGGCTCTTCAGTCTTGAGATCTACCCTAACTAATAGCCATATTTAAAGTGAATCCCTCTCACAGTGTTCATTTCAGTCCTCATCATCTTCCTTAGAGCACGTACCATCTTTTGTGTTTTATTTGCTTTTGTCAGTCTTCCTCATTAGACTATTAAATCATGTAAGTCTCACTTACCCCATATGCCCAGGGCCCAATATAGTGACAACTAATGTGCTCAATAAATATTTGTTGAATGAATTAAAAAAACCCTGAAAACTCAAGTATCAGATAAAAAGGAAAGGTCCAATTATATTAACACAAGGAAATATTATATGGCTATTCAGATTGACAGGTATGGATATAGTAAAAAATGTCTATATGAAATAATGGTAAATGAATAAAACAGACCACAAAATAGTATGTACGTGTATACAACTATGTAAGGAATTACATAGGCATTAAAAAATGATGAGGCCAGGTACGGTGGCTCACATCTGTAATCCCAGCATTTTGGGAGGCCAAAAGTGGGAGAATCACTTAATGTCAGGAGTTTGAGGCCAGCATGGATAACATAGCAAGACCTCATCTCTAGAAAAAAAAAAAAAAAATTAGCCAGGCATGGCAGTGTGTGTCTGTAGTCCCAGCTACTTGGGAGGCTAAGGCGGAAGGATTGCCTGAGCCCAGGAGATCAAGGCTGCAGTGAGCTGGGTGGCAGAGTGAGACCCTGACTCAAAAGAAAAAAAAAAAGACTGGAAAATAATTCATGGTAATAATAGACTTTAATAATTGGCAGGCATTTTGTAAAAATGTATAAAGTTAAAATTGTAGAAAAGTGCTTATAAAATAGAACTAAGTAAAAGCACAGTATTATATGTACACAATGATTATAACTAGGCCTAATTAAATATGAATTGAAAAAGATAAATAAATAAAAATACCTATACATGTAGTATCAGAGTGATAAAATTATGCATAAAACTTGTTTTTTAAATTTCTTTTAACATTGTAGATCTTTTTAAAAAAAGATTTGTTTTAGAGATGGGGTCTTGTTCTGTTGCCCAGGCTAGAGTGCAGCGACACAGTCAGCTCATTGCAGCCTCAAATTCTGCAGCCTTGAACCCCTGAGCTCAAGTGAGTCTCCCACCTCAGTCTCCCAAGTAGTTAGGCCTATGAACATGCACAGCCATGCCTGGCTCATTTTTTAAAAAAACTCTTTGTAGAGTTGGAGTCTCACTATGTTACCCAAGCTAGCCTTGAACTCCTGGCCTCGAGTGGTCCTCCTGCCTTGGCATCCCCAAGTGCTGGGATTACTGGTTGTTGGTCTTTTAAAAATAATATTTTATAATGAGAGATAGTCAAAAATAAATAAAAAGTAAAAATCACTTATTATTTCCTCACCTAATTAATAATAACTGAATAATATTTTGGGTAAATATCATTAGTCCTTTTTTCTAATATACATATAAGCAAAAATATATATAAAACAAAATTAGAATGACACTATACATATTATTTTTAACCTGATTGTTTCATTTAACAATATATCATAAACAGCTTCCCAGTCTAGAATGGCTTAATAATAAACTTGCAAAAATATTTTAAATATTTTAAACAAGGTAACATTTGTGTTGGAGATGCACAAATGGATGGCAAAAGGAATACATCCAGAGCTAAGATCCATACAAATCTACAACTGTTTAAGTTGAACACTAACCATCTCTAAGGCTCAACTACCATATCCATAAAACAAAGTAAATACTGAGACGAGGCAAGGATTGATGATTCTTTACAACTATCATAACGTGGAAAATGTAAGTATTAAAATGTAAAGAAACAATGCAGGTGAGTGAAGGAGTGAAACCTACTGACAAAACCTAATTCCCAGAATAGTTTCCGAAGCACTCCATCAGGCTGGTAACATACAACTCACACCATATCCCCAGGAGATGTCCGAACTGTCTTCAGTAGAAATCCCTGTGCCTGTATAACTCGGAAAAGCAGATCTTGAATCCCCAGTGTCAGCTGATGTAAAAGGTGATTCTCGTGTGATATCAGACTCACTAAATACACAATATGGGAGGAAGAGAGAAAACAGAAAAATTTTTATATTTCCTTAAGATTCTGAGGCACTAACTCCTCAGCAACTTACCAGGTGATAAGCATATGTACAAATACATTCACGAAAGCAAAAATAAATGAAGAACTTGAAATGCAAGCATCATGGAAAAGTCCTACCTAGTTCCTATAGGATTGATGGCAGCTAGTCCAAATAATTCTAGTCTTAGTTTACAATGAGTACTTTAATATCCTGCCTATAGCATATACTCTTGACAACTAAAGACATTTCAGAAATGTTAATAGTAGTAGCTGATCACTGGAGTCCAGGAATTGGAGGCAGTAGTTGCAATCATGCCACTGCCTTCCACCCTAGGAGACACAGCAAGACCTGTCTCTAAAAAAAAGTTGTATTCCAACTTCTCAATTTGTATGGCACTTTTGCAGTTAACCAAGCACCTTTATAGATATGAATCTCATTTTCTCTTCACAACAACCTGGTAATGTAGAACTCCATTAACTTCATTTAAAAAGCAAAGAATCTGGGATTTCATTCCTAGGCCTTATGGAACTATATACTTTTGTGACTATGTACTTTTTCTATAACATGTTGCTTCTCAGAACCCTCTTTAAAGTTCTGAGAGACAAAAGAATAGCCTCCTCTGTTCTATTTTTTTTCTTTTGGCACCTGTTTGTCTACATGTCCTATTCCTTAAAATTATGACTGCAGCTAATATTTACTCAACATTTACTATATGCTAGCACTGTGCCAAGTTTTACAAACCTTGTCTCATTAATATTCACAACACCCCATAAGAGATACAGTTATCACATAAGTATCTTGCCCATTGTTACTCAGGTAATAAGCGGGAGGACCAGGTTTAGAAATCAGATGTCAGACTCCTCCTGAACCCATTTTATGAGTCACTTTATAACACTATTTCTCAAAGGTTATGAAAATAAGTATGATGATGTTGTCATTAGCTGTTTCAGAATGAAAACTGAATGGTACTTGAAAACGTGATAAAAAATTCTTGTTTTATTTCATTAGCCCAAGGCTTGATACCGATCCTAAGCCAAGAAACAAAACCTTTGCCATTTTCTTCTTCATTTTTTTTCTTCCTGAGTTGGAGTCTCACTCTGTTGTCCAGGCTGGAGTGCAGTAGCATGCTCATGGCCGCTGCAGCCTTAACCTGCTGGGCTCAGGTGATCCTTCAGCCTCAGGCTTCCAAGTAGCTGGAACTACAAGCATGTACTACTACACCCAGCTATTTTTTGATTTATTGTAGAGATGAGGTCTCACCAAGTTGCCCAGGTTGGTCTGGAACCCGTGGACTCAGGTAATCCTCTCACCTTGGACACTCAAAGTGCTGGGATTATAGGCGTGAGCCACTGTACCTGGCTACCTTTGCCAAGGGCAATAAGCAAACAAGTACATTTTATGTTATTACCTTTGGGAACTCGTATCTTTTTCATGGCTGTCGTTGGTAGAGGAAATTTCATCTAGCTTCTCTGGAAGGGGATGATGATTAAGAGCATGTTTTGTTATTTCTTTCCTGTGAAAAATAAAACAAAGTTATATCGCCTATAACGAAAAAATATATGCTTTACAGTAACTTGATCCAGAATTTAGTCACCTACTTCCTGATGCTCTGGAACTGCACTGTCCTATATGGTAGCCACTAGCCACGGACAGTTAAAATGTGGCTAGTTGGAACTAATTGTATTTTAATTTCAAAGTCTTAGTACAACAAGAATGCAATATCTCATTAATTATATTATCTTTACATATTGAAATGATTATATTTTGGATATACTGGGTTAAATATCTTCTTAAAATTAATTTCACTGAAAATACAGTAAGACATCTATTAGAACAGTTAAAATAAAAAAGAGAGATAGCACCAAATATAGACAAGGATATAAAGAAACTGGACGTCTCATACACTGCTGGTGGCAGTGTAGAATGGTACAGCCACTCTGGAATAGTTTGACAGTTTCTAATAAAACTAAACATATATATTTACCCAAAGACCTAGCAGTTACATTCTTGGGCACTGAGCCTAGAAAAATGAAAACTTATGTCCATATAAAAATCTGTACACAGATGTTCATAGCTACTTCATTTATAATTGAAAAAGAACTGAAAACAACTAAAATGTTTGTCTTTGTGTGAATGGTTAAACTCTGATATAGCCACAATGGAGTATTATTCAGCAATTAGAAAGAAATGAACTACTGATACATGCAACAACCTGGATGGATCTCAAAAGCACAAGGCTTACTGAAAGAAGCCAAAGTCAATTGAAAAAGGTTACATATTACAGTTGACCCTTGAACAACACAGGTTTGAACTATGGTAGACCTACCTATACACAATTTTTTTTTTTTAGTCAAAATCTCATTCTGTCGCCCAGGCTGGAGTGCAGTGGCATGTGCATGGTCACCCCAGCGTCGACCTGGGGTGGCCACTGAGCTCAGGTGATTCTTCTGCCTCAGCCTTCCAAGTAGCCGCAACTACAGGTGCGCGCTACCATGCCCAGCTAATTTATATATATAGTATAGAGACAAGGTCTCACCAAGTTGCCCAGGCTGGTCTTGAACCCCTGGGCTCAGGCAATCCTCTTGCCTTGGCCTCCCAAAGTGCTGGGATTACAGGCTTGAGCCGTCATGCCCGGTCATAAATTTTTTTCAATAAATACATTGGAAATTTTTTTGATGATTTGCAACAATTTGAAAAAGTTCACATGAGCCATGTAACCTAGTAATATCAAAAAATAATAATAATAATAAAAAGGGATGTCATGAATGCATAAAACATGTAAATATGATTTTACGTATGTATTAGTCAACTTTATTAAGGCTTCTGATCAACAGTAGATTATCAGTAGTTAAGTTTTGGGGGAGTCAGAAGTTATACATGGATTTTCAACTGTGCAGGGGGTTGGTACTCCTAGCCCTTGCACTGTTCAAGAGTCAATTGTATATGAGTCCATTTATAAAACACTCACAAATAACAAAACCATAGAGGTGGAGAATATATTAGTGGTTGCCAGGTATAAGAGTAGATATAACTGTAAAGGGATAAGAATGGATATAACTGTAAAGGGATACATGAAGAAGTTCCTTGGTGGTAATGAAGCAATTGTCTATATTGATTGCTGTAATGGTTACACCAATCTATAAATGGGACAAACTGCACAGAACTGTGTACACACATACACACATAGAGGAATAGATATAGAAACTGGTGAAAACAGCTGGCGCAGTGGCTCATGGCTGTAAACCCAGCACTTTGGGAGGTGGAGCAGGAGGATTGCCTAAGACCACAAGTTCGAGACCAGCCTGCACAACGAGGCAAGACCTCGTCTCTACAATAAATAAATAAAAAAGCTGGGCATGGTGGCATACACCTCTGGTTCCAGCTACTTGGAAGGCTGAAACAGAAGAGTCACCTGAGCTCAGCAGGTCAAGGCTGTGGTGGCTGTGACCATGCCACTGCACTCCAGTCTGGGTAACAGAGTGAGACTCCAACTCAAAAAAAAAAAAAAAAAAAAAGAAACTGGTGAAAACAGAATAAGGTCTATAGCCTAGTTAATAGTATTGTACCAGTGTCTGCTTTGTGGTTTTGAAATTAACTACAATTACCTAAGTGTTATCATTGGGGGAAGCTGGGTGAAGAGTTCATGGAACTCTGTGTACTATTTTTACAATTTCCAGTGAGACTATAATTATTTCAAAATAAAAAGGTAAAGAATAGTAATTTCAGATGGCATGGTAGCTCACACCTATAATCAAGGCACTTTGGAAGGCCAAGGCAGGAGAATTGCTTGAGGCCAGGAGTTCGAGACCAGCCTGGGCAACATAGTGAGACCCATCTCTACAAAAAAAAAAAGATTGGTTGGTTGTGGTGGCACAGACCTGTAATCCTAGCTACTCAGCAGGCTGAGATAGGAGGATTGCTTGAGCCTAGGAATTCAAGGCTGTAGTGAGCTATGATCATGCCACTGCATTCTAGCCTGGGAAACAGAGTGAGACCCTTGCCTCAAAATAATTAAATACATAAATAATTCTACTTTTCTTTTATATGACCACTTGAATATTGAAAATTACATATGTGGCTTATATCATATTTCTACCAAATATTGCTGCTCTAGCTAGTTCAACATGTGTACTGAAATATGCCATGGAATCAATTATTATGTGTTACAGTCCTAATCATCTACTATGACTTTCCTTCCCCACAAAATTCTGTAGTCAAATAAATTTAGGAAACATGATAGGTTAAACCAAGTTACACAAGTTTCTTTACAAGAAATCTTCTCAGGTTCTTTCATATGCAAATGTATATCATAAATCTCTAATACCCTTATTTCACAGGAAAGGAAACTGAGGCACAGAATTAAGTAACCTGCGTAAGATCATATAATTAGTAAATGATGGAGCCAGGATTCAAATCCTAGTAGTCTGGCTCTCAAAGAAATGAAGAGTTTGAGATTTTAGTGAACTGTACCATTTTTGTATATAAAGTTAAGGGCCCAACCAGGTAGAGTTTGTACCTTAAATTATTTCTCTAATCACAGAGATGGATTTGTACAGAGCCATCAGTACTTCTCTCATTCAGTGATCCTACAATCAAAAGCTTGTTCTTTGAGGAATTGGAAGGGATCAGAATATGGATTCCAATATGAAATAGAGACTTAAGACATATTTTAGTGTGCCAGAGAAATCTATGATGTGTCAATTAGATAACAAGGAAATATTATTAAATTTGGTAATAGTATAATTATTAAATAAGAAAATGTCCATGATTTTTATAGATGCATAGTAATGCTTATGGAGGTGAAAGGATAGTAGCTACGGTCTTGTGTTTCTTATTTCACAGAGAGAGTTTAAAAAAAATAGATAAAGCAAATCTATTAAAATTTTGATAACTGCTAAATGTAGGGTGATATTTCATTATACTATTCTCTATACATTTATGTTTGAAATTATTCACTAAAAAATGTTAAGCTATATGTTGAAACTCACTCTTTTCCAAACTTTTCAACATTTATAATTTCTAACTGTCAGGGAGAAAAACTAAAGCTACTACTTCAGAGCATATTATCATTATAATAAATAATTGCTTTTAATTTACTGTCATTTAGGTCTATTTTGTCTTCATTATCTTCATTATTCACTTCATCCTGATTTCAGCTAGAGAATCATCAATTGGGAGTGTTAAATCAACAATCAAGAACTAGTAGTATAACTACACTGGGTCAATAATTCTAGACCAATAAGTGCCTATTAACATTTTTTTCATGTAAGTTTTTTTTTTTTTAACTCTTTGAATGGTCAGAATTAATCATAAAAGCAGATTTTTAGCTAACCCCCATTTACTTTTTTGGGAAATGACTGTTTCTTCTTCCTAGTTCCTAAAGAGTCTACTTTCTGAATTGCCATCACACAGATATTCAGCGGTCCCCAACTTAATACAGCGGTCCCCAACTTTTTTGGCATCAGGAACTGGTTTCATGGAAGACAATTTTTCCACGGATGGGGGTGGGGGGATGGTTATGGGATAATTCAAGTGTATAATATTTATTGTGCGCTTTATTACATTGTAATATATAATGAAATAATTATACAACTCACCATAAAAAAAAGAGGCACAGATGGAAGTGGTAAAAAAATAAAGGGTAGGCTATGCACAGACTAAAATAAGTGTTGGATTCTGACTTAAAGCCTGCCACCAGATGCAGCTATACAACTGAAGTACATCAACTCACTTGTCATTCAATGATAGGGTTTTGATACAGATCTGCAAGCAACTGATTTTTTTTTTTTTTTTTTTTTTTGAGTTGGAGTCTCACTCTGTCACCCAGACTGGAGTGCAATGGCCGCTCCCGGCCGCTGCAGCCTCAACCTGTGGGCTCCAGCGATCCTTCTGCCTCAGCCTTCCAAGTAGCTGGAACTACAGGCGCGCGCTGCCACGCCCGGCTCATTTTGATTTATTGTAGAGATGAGGTCTTGCCAAGTTGCCCGGGTGGGTCTTGAACCCGCGGGCTCAGGCAATTCACTCACCTCAGCCTCCCAAAGGCACGGGATTACAAGCTGAGCCACCAAGCCCGGCTGCAACTGATTTATTATGGTCTCTGTGTAGTCACTGCTAATGTTAATCTGTATTTGCAGATGCTCCCTAGCACTAGCATCACTGCCTCAGCTCTACCTCAGATCATGAGGCATTAGATTCTCACAAGGAGTGCAACCTAGATCCCTGGCATGTGCAGTTCACAGTAGGGTTCACGCTCCTTTTAGACTCTTATGTTGCCACTGATCTGAAAGAAGACAGAGCTCACATGGTAATGTCAGTGATGGGGATCTGGGGAATGGCTGTAAATAGAGATAAAACTTCGCTGGCTGGCCGGCTGCTCATCTTCTGCTATGCAGCAGGGGGAGGGGAGAACCTGGGGTTTGGGAACTGTCTTGGTAGATAATAAGCTTCTGAAAGGCAAGAAGAGATTTTAGACTTATTTTCTTTGTTTGTCTATTGTACCAAGTCAAGGGCAAGAAAAACACCATTTACTGAGAACTTACTATGTGTCAAGCTCTATGCCATCACTTTATATATGCTTTTAGGTGAGGTCTTCTTATATTACAGAAATGAAGGATCAGAGGTTTAGTAATATGCTTAAAAGTCACATGGCAAGAAAAAGAGCCTAGTCAGAAACCCATGCCTGCTATTGCTATGTATAGTTAATATTTAATTAATAAATGTATGGTTGCTAAAATTACATAGCTCAGCAAAGGAAAAAAGTGGGATTTGGGGATAAAAACTCAAGCTCAATTCCTGACTGTATTGGCTATGTAATCTTAAAATGTATAACATTTCTGATATAATTTCATTTTCTGAAAGACTGAAGATAATCATACCCATGTTACAAAGTTGTCATAAGGATCAAAAAGTGAAAGCCTTTTTGAAAGTATAAAACATTAATAAATGTAAGACAATATCATTACTTGCTAAATTACAACACTCCACTCAGGGTAGGAGGTGGGTTGTGAAGCCAGAAATATCTGTTCCCTAAAGTCTCAAGCAAAACTCATCCTTATGGATTATTATACTTAATTGCAGAGGTGGAGAGGCAGTATGTGTAATGGTTATGACTACAGGCTTCAGAATCAGATTGACACCAGGTTTTACCTCTTAGCTCCACCACCTCTTGGCTGTGAAATCTCTGGCATGCTACAATCTTTACATCTGGGACCTTTATCTGTGGAATGTGAAAAATATTCTGATATGGCAGGATGAAGTCAGCAAATGCATGTAAACGGCTTTCTTTGCACAGTGTCCCGCACTAGACGTATTCAACTTCACTGCAGCGCTCAGCTATTAATGACTTTTCGAGTTGTCAGTATCATTGACAATGGGGTCTGAAGCACTGCCGGAACTATAAATGCTTTAGGAGACGTAGTCCCTGAGTTCAGGAATTACAGCACAAGAGGCCAAGTCCCAGGGTAGCACAGGTGACAGGCTGTCAGCTGGATATGGAGGACAAAGGGTATCATCCAGCAAGGCTGAGAGGACAGAATTCCGAAGAAAAACTGATCTCCCCTTCACTGAGAAAGAAGTAAAGGACTGGTCAAGGAGGGTCCCTAGAGCGCCCGCGGCCCGCCTCAGCCTTGGGGTGGCCGAGCAGTCAGTCCACTCACAGCTCCAAGCTCTGCGGCACTGCCTTCCGGGTGTATCTGGAGATCATCCTCCTTCTCCTCCTCCTCAGCCGCGGCCCGGGCGGGCACGCCAGGGTGGGGGCCTCCGGGCCTGGCCCTCCCTCCGGCTCCGGCCCGGCTCCCTCCTGCCACCTGTCGGCCCCGTCTCGCCCCGTCGCTTAGACTCCGGGCCGCCACCACCCCGGGGTCCCCACCTCTCCAGGCCTCCGACCTCCCTGCTTCCTCTCTGGGGCGGAAGTGACGAAGGTATCCGGGCACTCGCCAAATGCTACCGCCGGCGCGTGTAAGTGACGACACCCAAGGTTCCAGGGACTGAGCGGTTTTCACCCTTTCACGCAGGGCTTCCACGGCCTCAGGTCCCAAGAAGGCCTCGGAACAAATCCTAATCTAGGCTTTGGCCGCTGGAAGCGGCTCCTGACCAGCTTACGCTGTCCGAGAGGCGGCTAAGGAAAGGTGTCGCACCTGGGACGTGCGGGAGAGGCCCTAGGACCGTAAGCGGAATTTGCTTCATTTTGTCGGATGGGAGAAGGGAGCCTCGTCTGAGTAAGGAGTACTATATTCCAAGCCCCGCTGCTTGGTCGCTTCTCTTTCTGTGCTCCCGGTTTTCTCATTTTGACAGGCGTAAGCCTGAGTGATCTCAAGGTCCCTTCCAGTTCCTACTCTAAGTTCTGCATAAAGGGTGGATGGGTAGAATTATTGTCTGTCTCCTGGGTTGAAAAGCAGAATGATGATTTAGAGAAAGACTATGGTGAGTAGGTGTCTGGATAGAAGACGCAGGTTCCTTGCTAGTCTGTTAGAAGGCTGAGTAAGCAAAGGAATGGAATCGTTGCGTTGCGGTGGCCCATCCAGTGCAGTGCCTGGATGATGGCCTTACCAAGCATCATCTGACTGCAGTAGTAAACCGGGCACTCTTATTTGTTAAAAACAAATAATCAAACAAACAAAAAAACCTTAGAAAATAAAGAGCGATCTAACACCTCTTAGTATATCAGAGGTATATCCCCTGAGACTTGAAAAAGTGACAAATTTAGGACAGGTCGTTGTAGGATCGACAAAGAGCCACGGGAATGAGGTGATAGGACATGATTGTTTTGTAGTTTTGAGTTCCCCTATGCCATACAGTGTTTGTAAAAGAGAGATTTGTATTCTACAATTAAGGAAAAAACCTCAGAAAAAGTGAAGCACCCAAAGTGGCACAACTAATTAGTAGCAGAACTGGGACTTTTGATAGCATTTAGACAGTAATTGTCAGTGCAGTGTTTCTCAAAGTGTGTTACACACACCACTGCTAATACAAGGGCAAATATTTAAAATTTTATTATTATCTACTTACTCATTTGGGAATGTGATACTGGATTTCCTTTCACAGATTATATCAAGATTTCCTTTTAACATCATTTTAAAAATAATACTTTTAAGTATAAAATGTTATTATAATGTTAAATAAATGTTACTATAGATGATTCATGGTGAAGACCAAATCCATGATGATGTGTATGTGGGTATTTAAATTTTAGGAAACGATGTTAACAGAGTCACTTAGAAGAGTTCATGAAATGGCATGTTGCTTTTACATTGTTCTATGTGGTTTATATTTTGAAACTTTAAATGTAGTTTTCAAAAAAGAATGGACAAAACTATGAAGCTTGCTACAATGGAAGACACTGTGGAGTACCACCTGTTCCTGATACCAGATGAATCTAGGGACCCCGAAAAACACAAAGAGATTCTTCAGAAGTATATTGAGAGAATAATGACCCAGTTTGCACCTATACTGGCCCCCTATATCTGGCAGAATCAACCTTTTAATCTTAAATATAAACCTGGAAAAGGTAAGTCTCTTTTGATTAGTGTGATTTTTAATGGCATTCTGTTAATAATGATGTATAATAGTCCATAATTCATTCAGTGTTGTCAGGAAGAAATATGTATCCTAAACTTTTTTACATAAGTGATGTTTGCTTATATTTTAAGTTTAAGCATTAAACTTAATTTTTAAAAATTCATCTAAATGAAAACTTTCTAAGTTACCTTAAGAACTAGCATATACTAAAAATTATTAAACTCATGGCTATTCTTTTGAACTTTAGTTACTATACTATACCATAATGTATGTAAGTACTTATGCAAAACAGATTTAGGCATCTGGCTTCCTTATCATCTTTCCTTTTGCTGTTATTCACTATTACTTATTTTGATGATGTGTTTAGTAAGTTGCCTTATTTAACATGGTTGTTTTGGTAAGAATCTATGAGTGGCTCTGCCTGGACTATAAAGAGAAATAATTGGGCTTTATGACCATCATTTGCCACTTAGAAGCATTCTGAAGTTCCTTCACTGCTTCCCTGTGTTGTTGGTGCTTGAGATCTGATATCTGGTAAAATATGGCACTTTGTCCTATCTTTTTTAATAGTTTCACGAAAATGAATCATGGATAGGTGACCAAGGCTCTACTCATACAGTGACTTATATGAGGTCTTGTCTGGGATCTGGGGCCTGACATTTTGTGATACATCAAGATACTTTCACAGGTGTATACATTGCAAGTGTACATCACTGTGATACTCTAAGTTTAGTGCTCATCTGTTATCGTTTGGCTAGCAATTGCTAAATGTCTTCCCTACTCTTAATTTTATTTAACTCTTTTTTTTTTTTTTGCACCCAAGGCAGAGCCTAGCTTTAATTAAAGGGCCCGCGCTGGAGAGTCAATATAAAAACACAAAAAGTCCCTTAAGTTCAATAACAATAAAAAAATCCCAAAAGTGAGGGGGCAGGGGAAGAGGCCCCTGGACCAGGGGCACAAGGCACCCTGCTCATGGCACCAGGCCTGGCCACAGGGTCCCCAGTATCGCTGTTGTTATGAGGTTGAGGGACAGTGTTTGTCCCTTGGGAGTCACTGTTCATCTGGGTTGGGGACCCTTACTTCTTTTGGGGTGTACTCCGCTTCTGCATACCTCAGATCTTGTCCAGCAATCCAGAGATGAAGGCCTTGGTGGTTTTGTAACAGTCAACCAGCAGTTCCTTGACCCTGGCAGCCTGGGTGTCATCACTTTCCATGTCCAAGAGCTCATCCACATCAATCTCCAGCTCTGGGATCTTGCTTCCTAGCAGTGGTAGAGGCGCGTGAGCTGCTCCAGGATCCTCTCCTCCAGGTTGAGGCACTTCCGTGGCTCCTCATGATCGTACTTGACAGTGACCTTCCCTTGGGGCCTCACGGGGCCCTCTCCTGCGGCCCCAGGGGGGCTCTGAAAATAGACGCCGGCCCTGGACCGCCACTGCCTGACCCAGGGGCCACCAAAGCTATGCCCCATACAGGGCCCCTGTCCTCTGTGGCAGCCACTGGGCCATGTGCGCGCATCAGGCCCCTCTCTGTGCCGCCACCTCGCAGGCTCAGTTCTGCGTGGCTCCCCTGTGAAGGGCGCCTAGGGCCTTTATTTAACTCTTATTCACTAAAATACGTGTGATATTTATTGGCAAGAACACTGTCACATTAGTGCAGTACATCCAAAACCAACCTTTTATCTGTACTCTAGAAAACTATTTTTATCATTTGTTTTCTTAGCTTATTTAATGGCATTGCTATCCACCCAGTTCTCCAAGCGAGTCAGTAATTCAGAATCATGTTCAACTCCTTCCTTCACCATGTTCAGTCAGGCACTAAATCCTAAATGCTCCCAAAATATGACCCCTTCTCTGCATCTACTTGGCTTAAGTGCAGGCCCTCTTTATGTCTTCATCTGGAAAATCACGGTAGCTTCTTAACTTACATCTCTTGTTCCAGTCTCTCCAATGCCTCACACTTTACAAATTAGCTTTGTAAAACAAATATTTGATCATTTCCTAGTTAATATGCTGGAACAGTTCCCTGTATCTTCAGAATTGAAGTTTCGATTGAAATCTAATATATAAGATAGATAAAAATACTTTAGTTGGAGTACTCTAGTTGAAGAAGCTTGAGATCTGAGATGGGAGGAAGAGTTGGGTTACCTGTTCTTCTCACCTGTTTTTTGCTATGGCAGCTCTTGAAGCATTCTGCAGCGGATTTGTTTGACCTTCATTCTCTTAATGTGGCATATTCAAATATGTTGATTTTTGTATGTTGAACCATCTTTGCATTCTAGAAATAAATCCCACTTGGTCACAGTATATAATCTTTTTAATATGTTGTTGAGGATTTTTACATCAATAATTAATCAGGGACCTTGGTCTGCAATCTTCTTTTCTTATATAGTCTTTGTCTGGGTTTGGTATTAAGATAAGCTGGCTTCATAGAATGAGTTTGGAAATGTTCTCTTCATTTTTCTGGAAGTCTTTGAGGGGGATTGGTGTCAAATTATTTAAATGTTTAGTAAAATTCTCCAATGAAGTCACCTGGTCCTGGGTCTTTCATTGCTAGGAGGTTTTTGATAACTGATTCAATTTCTTTACTAATTAGAAGTCTGTTCAGATTTTCTGTTGCTTCATGATCCAGTCTTGATGGGTTGTATGTTTTTAGGAATTGGTCCATTTCTTTTAGGTTAACCAATTTGTTCCCATACCATTGTTCATAGTGTTCTTTTATAATCTTTTCTATTTCTGACATAGGTTATAAGGTCCCCTCTTTCATTTCTGGTTCTAGAGACTTCTCTCTCTATTTTTTTTTTTTGAGACAGAGTCTTACCGTTGCGCAAGCTGGAGTGCAGAAGCATACTCATAGCCATCGCAGCCTTGATATGCTGGGCTCAGGTGATCCTTCCATCTCAGCCTTCCAAGCCAGCTGGAACCACAGGCACATGCCTCCATGCCTGACTAATTTTTAAATTTATAGTAGAGATGCGGTCTTGCCACGTTGCCTAGGCTGGTCTTGAACCCCTGGGCTCAGACAATCCTCTTGCTTCTGCCTCACAAAATGCTGGGATTATACTCATGAGCCACTGTGCCCAACCTAGTTCTTTTATTCCTAGTTCATCTAGCTAATAGTTTGTCAACCTTTTCAATAAAATCAACTCAATTGTGCTGTTTTTCTTTTCTTTATTTTATTTATCTTTCTGTAATCTTTATTATTTCCTTACTTGTGCTAGCTTTGGGTGTAGTTTGTTTTTCTTCTGGTTCTTTGAGGTGTAAAGTTAGGCTGTTGATTTGAAATTTTTCACAACTATAAAATTCCCTCTTAGCACTGATTTTGCTGAATCCTGTAAGTTTTGGTATGTTGTGTAGTCATTTTTATTTGTCTTGAGATATTTTCTAATTTCTCTTGTGATTTCATCTTTGATTCATTGGTTTAAAAGTGTGTTGCATTTCCACGTATTTGTGGATAGTGCACTTGTTTGAAAATGTCACCGGACTTGGTGGCTTGGCCTGTAATCCCAGCACTTTGGGAGGCCGAGGCGAGTGGATTACCTGAGCCCGTGGGTTCGAGACCCACCCGGGCAACTTGGCAAGACCTCGTCTCTACAATAAATAAATAAAAAAAATTTAGCTGTGTGTGATAGCACGTGTCTCTAGTTCTGGCTACTTGGAAGGCTGAGGCGGAGGGATCGCCGGAGCCCAGCAGCTCAAGGCTGCGGTGGCTGGGAGTGTGCAACTGCATTCCAGCCTGGGCGACAGGGTGAGGCTCTAACTCAAAAAAAGAAAAAATAAAAATAAAATAAAATGTCTACTCCATCCATCCAAATCTAGCTTCCTGGTATTCCCAGAATACTGTAGTCCATCATACCTCTGTGACTTCTTTGCACATGCTGTTTCATGTTTCTGGAAAACCCACCTCCAGTCATTCCTCCAGATAAGCACAGCTCAGATATCACCTCTTTTATCTCATATAGCCTAGTACATACCTATGTTCTAGAGTACATCATCTTGTTTTGAGATGGTTTGGTTGTTTATCTCTTGTTTTACCCTGAGTTCCTTAAGAGTATGCTTCTTGTATCTTGTTCAGGATTACAACCCCAGCTCTCAGTATAGTATTTGGAGCATAGTCAGTCAGTTGAATGATAACATGTATTTTTATTTGCAGTGACAAATGTTTCTGGTTACATGGTTGCTTTTCTCTTGTTTTTAGGAGGTGTTCCTGCTCATATATTTGGCATGACAAAGTTTGGGGATAATATTGAGGATGAGTGGTTTATTGTTTATGTAATAAAGCAGATTACGAAGGAATTTCCAGAGTTAGTGGCAAGGTATTGTAGTTATTTTAATTATTCTAAAGGAATTCCATTACTGAAATGAAGTGACTATATTTTTATCCATTTAGTAATTTTTTTTTCCTGTAGTCTGATTGAAATTGTGCAAATCTGGGAAGTATTTAAAAAATACTATCTTTTCTCTTGTGATTTTCTTTTATTAAGAAAGAATTAAACATCTATTAAGGAGTTCTACTTGCAAAAGATTTCAAATAAAAATATTGTTATAGCCGGACTTGGTGACTCAGCCTGTAATCCCACGCTTTGGGAGGCTGAGGTGAGAGAATTGCCTGAGCCCGTGGGTTTGAGACCCGCCTGGACAACTTGGCGAGAGCTCATCTCTACAATAAATCAAAAAATTAGCCGGGTGTGGTAGTGCGCGCCTGTAGTTCCAGCTACTTGGAAGGCTGAGGCTGAAGGATCGCTGGAGCCCAGCAGGTCGAGGCTGCAGTGGCCGAGAGCGGCCACTGCACTCCAGTCTGGGCAACAGAGTGAGACTTCAACTCAAAAAAAAATAAATAAATAAATAAAAATAAAAAATATTGTTATTATTTTTTAGCAACAGGGTCTTGCCCTGTTGCCCAGGCTGGAGTACAATGATACAATCTTGGCCCACTGTAGCCTCAACCTCCTGGACTCTAGTGATTCCCCTGCCTTAGCCGCCTAAGTAGCTAGGACCATGGGCACACACACCACTATACCTAGCTAATTTTTTATTTTTTATAGAGTTTGGATCTCACTATGTTGCCCAGGCTGGTCTTGAACTCCAAGCCTCAAGTAATCCTCCTGCCTAGTTCTTCCAAAGTGCAAGGATTACAGGCATGAGCCACTGGGCTCAGTCTCTTTTTAAAATTTTAGTTATGAAAGAACAGATACATATGGTACTGTTTTGGCATCCCAAAATTAATCATCATTAAATATCTTGTGGCTCTTTGAAAAATAAAATTCCATCTATTTACATATATGCATATTTCATATATTTTTAAGCATGTACTTCTGTACTAGACCATAGCTATATTTTTTGAGAAATCATACACAGAAACAATTTAAGGAGAAGTCAGTGAACAATTGCACAGGAAGCAAAGTAGGTAACACTGCGTTATAAGTCAATTTTAAATAACACCTCCTACATAAAGCCTTTTCTAATAATCTTAGCTGTATGTGATGTTTTTCATCTTTTGGAAACCTACAGTACTTGTATATTTTTATATTTTTGTCTAATGTTATCTATTTATTTACATTTTTATATTCTCTCCTTATTGCCCTTCAACTCCTCCTTACTATTGTACAATTTCCTTCAATGTTTAATGCTATCTTAAATATTTTACTTTCTTATGGCTATCTAGACATAGTACAAATGCAAATATTTACTAAGAAAGAAAAAATGTATTTGGACAAAACTGTTTTGATTACTAGCAAATATTTGCTTTTTGAATGCAAGATTGGAATTTTTTTGCATTAGGATTGAAGATAATGATGGTGAATTCTTGTTAATAGAAGCTGCCAACTTTCTGCCTAAATGGTTGGATCCTGATAATAGCACCAATAGGGTAAGTATACCCAGGTTTAGAAAATTTACATAGATGAAATCATGCTGCATTACTTTCATTTATACCCAGATTTTGCCAGTGCCCACTGTGAAAATGAAAATGTACAATTTGTAGGTTTTTTTCCACCATGGGGAGTTGTGTATTATTCCTGCACCAAGGAAATCTGGAGCAGTATCTTGGCTACCCACCACACCTCCAACAATTCCACAAGCACTAAATATAATCTCAACACATCCAGAAAAAATTTCGGCCTCAGAATCTGTACAAGGTGCTGTGAATAGGCGCATCAGAGGGTAAGAAAACTGTCACTTTCATTGCTATTCAAGGAGTCTTTTGGTTTAATGCGGTCCAAGATTTTCATTGATATGTAATGTCTCTCACCTAGATTAATGCTAATTTTCATTTTGTCTGCATCCCTCTTCATGAACTTGACTAAAAAATTAAACTTATGGATTTTAAAATCTAGAAACAGATATATCTTTTTTTTTTTTTGAGTTGTAGTCTCTCTGTTGCCTAGGCTAGAGTATGGTGGCACACTCACGGCCACCCCCAGCATCAACCTGCTGGCCTCTGGTGATTCTTCCACTTCAGCCTTCCAAGTAGCCAGAACTATAGGCATGTGCTACCACGCCCGGCTAATTTTTTTTTTTTTTTTTTTTTTTAATTTATTGAAGAGACGAGGTTTTGCCAAGTTGCCTGGGCTGGTATTGAACATGGGCTCAGGCAATCCACTCGCCTCTGCCGCCCAAAGTACTGGGATTACAGGCTGAGCCACCAGAAACAGATATATTTTTTAATTCCCTTTCAAAAGTGTTATAATCTTGCCTCAATATATTTCTATTTATTTACTTTAAATAGTGTGACTATTATTGATATCCATGGATAAAAAATTTGAGGCCATGCGCAGTGGCTTATGTCTATAATCTCAGCATTTTGGGAGGCTGAGGTGGGTGTATTGCTTGTGCCTAGGAGTTTGAGACTAGCCTAGGCAATATTATGAGACCTTATCTTTACAAAAAAAATTTTTTAATTAGCCAGGCATTGTTGTGCATTCCTGTAGTCCAAGTTACTCAGGATGCTAAGGTGGAAGGATGGTCTGAGTCCAGGAAACCGAGTCTGCTGTGAGCCGTGATTGTTGTGATCATGCCACTGCACTCCAGCCTAGACAACAGAGTGAGACTCTGACTCAAAAATAAACAACAAAATTGAGAGACTTAAAAATGAAAATGTAAGGGAACCAGTGTGCTCAGGTTTTTTCTGTGGTTCTGGGACTGTATTCTTTGATCTGTGTGGAACACTTTAGGTTTTATTCAGAGAAGAAATTCTTAACCTAGTAACGTATTAGTTCAGCTGTTCAACTTTGCATGCTTGTTATATGTTTAGCACCATTCAGGTCTTAACAATATTAAAAATCTCTTTTAGCTTTGTTTTGGTATGCTTTGTACCACATTTTAGAAGAATAAACTCTGATTTTGTTCTTATTCCTAAGTATAATAGGCTTTTTGTTTTGTTTTTATTGAGCTACCATAATCCCTTCTCTTTATTTACCATTTCTTTCTACTTTTTCCCTCTATTCTTTCCTACAGTGTTAAGTATATACTGTATCTTTTTTCATCACTCTCTACATCTCACACTTGATGACAGACAGGAAGTTAAAGGGTGGTGAATGGTATAAGAGTTCTAGATATTTACATATCATAAAATAAAAGTAATTGTGTTACCTATCACAGGTACCCAGAAAAGATTCAGGCCTCCTTTCACCGAGCACACTGCTTCCTTCCAGCTGGCATCGTAGCAGTGCTAAAGCAGCGGCCCAGATTGGTGGCTGCAGCAGTCCAGGCATTTTACCTGCGAGACCCCATTGACCTGCGAGCCTGTCACATTTTCAAGACATTCTTGCCAGAAACACGAGTGATGACATTGGTAAGATTTCTGTCTCTTGAGTATTTAGTTTCTCTCACTTGAAAGAGAGTCGAAACATTATTTTAATTGTCTTCTAGGAAAAATTGGAGATATTCTGTCTCCTCATAGCATGTTAACAGGTTGAGTATCCCTTATCTGGAATGCTTGGAACCAGAAATATTTCATATTTCAGATTTTTTTCAGATTTGGAATAGTTGTATTATACTTACAAATCTGGAAGTCTAAAATCCCAAAATGCTCCAATGAGAATTTCCCTTGAGCATCATGTTGGCACTCAAAAAGTTTTGGATTTTAGATTTTGTATTTTCAGATTTGGGAGGCGCAAACTGTATACAATTTTTCTTTTTTTCCTCCCAGTGGAGAAATTTTTCAAGACTTGACTCTCCATTTTATATCTCAATGTTTCTTAGCTATTTTTGACCATGTTTCCCTATTTGTATATGATATATATGATTATAGTAAATGATTATATTTATGTTTTATTTATCATATGAAAATAATCATGAAATAACAGATATTTTTTATAATATAATATTCAATATAATACGATAATATTTAATATAACAAATAATATTGTTAAGAAGGAAATATAAGCCGGGCTCGGTGGCTCAGCCTGTAATCCCGCGCCTTTGGGAGGCTGAGGTGAGTGGATTGCCTGAGCCCGCGGGTTCGAGACCCGCCTGGGGCAGCGAGACCTCATCTCTACAATAAATCAAAAAATTAGCCGGGCGTGGTAGCACATGCCTGTAATTCCGGCTACTCGGAAGGCTGAGGCGGAAGGATTGCCGGAGCCCAGCAGGTCGAGGCTGCGGTGGCCGGAAGCGGCCACTGCACTCCAGTCTGGGCGACAGAGTGAGACTCCAACTCAAAAAAAAAAAAAGAAGGAAATATACAATCATTTCCTTCTTAACAATAAAACTTTTCATCTCTTCCTGAGAATGAACAATTATTCTTTATCTTCTACCCCATACACTGTTATATAATGATAAGAGTTTTGCTAGTAATAACTAAAAAGTAGGCAGTACAGTAAATTTTTAGAGTCTGTGAGTTATCTCTGAATAAAGGTCTTACTAAAAATTAGTAGCCCGTTTCAGGAAAAAACTCATGTATTTTGTGTCTCAATGCTTAGGTCACATTCACTAAATGTTTGTATGCACAGTTGGTGCAACAAAGGTTTTTGCCAGACCGGCGGAGTGGATACAGGCTGCCTCCTCCATCTCATTCCCAGTACCGAGCCCATGAACTGGGCATGAAGTTGGTAATTTTATTTTATTTTATTCCTTATGTAAATGGCCTCTTAGCAGAATAATGGCACAGCATAGAAAGTCTAGAAGTTCCCCTATTTGTGTAAGGATATAGTAACATGTGATATTTCAGCTTAGAAGGAAAAAACAGGTTATTTAGTAAATGATGATGGGAAAATTGTGAAGCCACCTGAAAAATTAAAGTTGATTCCCTCACACCTGTACTAAAGTAAATTTCAGTTGGATCAAATATTTAAATGTAAATTTTTAAATATAAATTTGGAAAAAAACCCAGGAAAACTTATTATGAGCTGAATTAGATAGGCCTTCCTATGCGTGACTGGAAACCAGAAACTATAGAGGAAAAGATCGATAAATTTGATTATGTAAAAAGCATTTCTGCATGGAAGAGAAAAAAATCCCATAAAGTCAAAAGATAGCAAACCTAGAGAAAGTGTTATTTTTGCAATCTAAATGAAAAAGAGCTGACTTCTCTAAAGTATTCCTTTTTGTTTTTGTTTTTTTGAATCAGAGTCTCACTCTGTTGCCCAACCTGGAGTGCAGTGGCACTCTCACAGCCACCACAGCCTCAACCTGCTAGGCTTAGGCGATTGCTTTGCCTCAATCTTTCAAGTAGCTGGAATCTGAGGCATGCACTACCATGCCTGGCTGATTTTTTTATTTATTGTAAAGACAAGGTCTCACCATGTTGCTCAGGCTGATCTTGAACCCTGAGCTCAGGTAATCCTCTTGCCTCCACCTCCCAAAATGCTGGGATTACAGGTGTGAGCCACCACACCTGTAATATATAAAGTATTCCTTTAAGTCAATATGAAAAAGATAATACTAACCAATTAAATTTTAAAATGTTCAGAAACTATGAATAGATAGTCCACAGAGAAGGAAAATATAGATGATTTTTAAGTTAAACATACGAAAAATGCTGCCCCTTGCTCATAATAAAAGAAATGCAGTTTAAAGGCACTCTCGAACATTGTTAATAGGAATATGAATTGTTCTCTTAGGAGAACAATTTGGCAATGCCGATACTCCTTAACTTATGATGAGGTTAACCTTCCAATAAACCCATCATGAACGGAAAATATTCCAAATGCATTTAATACACCTGACCTACCAAATATCATAGCTTAGCTTAGCCCACATTAAATGGGCTTGGAACACAATTAGCATACAGTTGGGCAAAATCATCTAACACAAAGTTTATTTTATAATAAAGTGTTGAATAGTGCATGTAATTTATTGATTGCAGTATACTGTAGAGTACAGTATTGGTTGCTTACCTTTGTGATCACATAGCCAACTGGAAACTGTGGCTTGCTACCAGTGCCATTGCGAAGCATCATGAGAGGGTATGTACTGCATATCACTATCCTGGGAAAAGAAAAATTTGAAGTAAGGTTTCTACTGAATTTGTATTGCTTTTGTACCATTATAAAGTCGAAAAATTGTAAGTGGAACCATTATAAATCAGGGATTGTCCATCAGCACTTAAAATGCACAAATTCTTCTGCTCAGCCTTTTCACTTCTAGAAATTTATTCTCTATTTTACATGTGCACAAAGACATATTCAAACATACTCATGAAGCAGTAAAAGATTAGAAATTATTTAAATGTTCATTAGTAGAGCAATGGTTAGATAAGTTATAGGCTGAGTATGGTGGCTTACACCTATATCCAGTACTTTGGGAGGCAAAGATGAGAGCCCAGGAGTTTGAGACCAGCCTGGGCGACTTGGTGAGGTCTTGTCTCTACAATAATTTTTAAAAAAAAATTAGCCAGGCGTGGTGGTGCAGGCCTGTAGTTCCAGCTACTTGGAAAGCTGAGACACAAGATTGCCTGAGCCCACAGGTCAAGGCTGTGGTAACCATGAGTGTGCAACCACACTCTAGCCTGGGCAGCAGAGTTAGACTCCAACTCAAAAATTAATCAATAAATAAAATAAAAATAAAGATAAATTTTGGTCACTTTATGAAGTGAGATGGATAAATTTGTGTTCTCTTATGAAATAATCTCCAAGGTAAATGGTTAAATGTAAAATGCCAGATTCAGAATAGTGTATATACTGCCATTGAGAGACAAAAGGGATGGAATAGGAAGCTATCCACAGACAGACAGACACATATCTACTTGAGTGTATAGATTACTGATGTGCAAAAAGTTGGTGAGAGTCTTCTCTAGCATGATCAGGAAAGCTTCCTGTTTGAATTATTTTCCCATGTCCATCTATTATCTTTTAAAATCAAAGGACTCTTAGGGTGAAGTGATTCCCTTCCTTTACTATATCTGAGTCTACTCAATTTATTTATAGTTTCTAGTAGACAAAAAACCTTTTGTAGGCACTTCACACTTAAACAAGAAATAACGTTTCTGGTTTTATTATCCCCAGGAAAAAGGAATCTCTTTGAAGAGAACAGGAATCTTTGTTTTGATTATATTCTTTCCCTTTGTGATTTTTAGTATTCAATAGAGATTGAAGAACTTGGAAATAAATTTATATTTTTCTTTTTTTTTTGAGTTGGAGTCTCACTCCATCACCTGGACTTGAGTGCACAGCCTCGACCTGCTGGGCTCAGGCGATCCTTCTGCCTCAGCCTTCCAAGTAGCCAGAACTATAGGCACACACTACCATGCCCGGCTAATTTTTTGATTTTTATTGTAGAGACGAGGTCTTGCCAAGTTACCCAGGCTGGTCTTGAACCTATGGGCTCAGGCAATTCTCTCACCTCAGCCTCCCAAAGTGCTGGTGTTATAGGCGTGAGCCACCACGCCTGGCTAAATTTATATTTTTCATAATGTTCAAAAAGCGCCATAAATATCCACATGCCCATGTATTCAGTCACCTAGTTCTTGAGTGTGGCCAAATGGAAAGAAAGTAAAGTAATAAGATGACATGTAAAAAAAAAGGTAACTTAATAAAAACTCTACCTATCTCATCTAGGCTCATGGATTTGAGATCTTATGCTCCAAATGTAGCCCATATTTTTCTGACTGCAAGAAGTCCCCCGTGACTGCCTCACCACTATGGGCCAGCTTCCTTGAAAGTCTGAAAAAGAATGATTACTTTAAGGTAGGATTACATTGTATTTTTTTTAAGTGTACAGTCCAGAGAAAATCAGGCTGATGACTTAAAGTCCTGTGGCCCATATTTAAATGTGTAACATAATTATAATAGCTAGAGTTAAAGGAGGCCTTTCTGGTTCAATAGTACTCAAAGCCCTTGGAAAGTGGTAATGAGGTGTCTATGGACTGTTTCCAGTATTCAAGCAAAACTAGTACTATTTGTATTAAGTGATAAAGTTATTATTTCTATCAAGGAAAACCAATACTATCTGTATTAAATGATAAAAGTTATTATTTATTTCAGATGAACAACTCAAACATGAAGACCTCAGATAGGAAAATTAGCAAAGATATGGTTTAAAAAATTACAAAAGTATAATCTATAAACTTCTCTTAAAATAATCAGCTTCACAAGTAGTAAAGATAAACATATGAACACAATAATGAAGATTGTTTTTCATGTGTATACAAAAGTATATGAATAATATTCAGTACTGTTGAAAATATGGTAAATTAACACTCCTATATATTACTGGTAACATTATAAATTGGTAGAACCTTAACTGGCAAGTAATTTAGTAGTGTCTTCCAAGAGCTATAGAAAAAGTCAAATGTGGTCGGACTCGGTGGCTCAGCCTGTAATCCCAGCACTTTGGGAGACTGAGGTGAGTGGATTGCCTGAGCCTGCGCGTTCAAGACCCGCCTGGGCAACTTGGCGAGACCTCATCTCTACAATAAATCAAAAATTAGCCGGGCATGGTAGTGCACGCCTGTAGTTTCAGCTACTTGGAAGGCTGAGGTGGAAGGTCGCCGGAGCCCAGCAGGTCGAGGCTACAGTGACTGGGAGCCAGCACTGCACTACAGTCTGGGTGACAGAGTGAAACTCCAACTCAAAAAAAAAAAAAAAGAAAAAGTCAAATTCAGAACCTTCACTTTATTTTTGAGACAGGGTCTTACTCTGTTGCCCAGGCTGGAGTGCAGTGGCATGATCACGGCTCACCGCAGCCTTGACTTTCTTGGATCAGGAGATCTTCTGCCTCAGCCTCCCAAAAAGCTAAGACTACAGGCATGCACCACCATGCCCAGCTTATTTTTTTAATTTTGTTTTCATAGTGACAAGGTATTGCTATGCTGCCCAGACTGGTCTCAGACTCCTGGGCACAGTCTTTTAACCTCAGCTTTCCAAAGTGCTAGGATTACAGGCATGCGCCACTGTGCCTGGCCCCGACCTTCACTTTGAATAATCTTTTTATAATTTTTATTTTTGAGTCAGAGTCTTACTCTGTCGTCCAGGCTAGAGTTCAGTGGTACAATCACAGCTATTGCAGCCTTGACCTTCTGGGCTCAGGCAAGCCTTCTGCCTCAACCTTCCAAGTAGCTGGGACTACTGTCGTGCACCACCACGCCCAGCTAACTTTTAAAAAATTTATTGTAGAGACAAATTCTCACCATGTTGTTCAGGCTGTTCTCAAACTCCTGTGCCCAGGCAACACTCTTGCCTCAGCCTCCCAGACATGCTAGGATTGGAGGCATGAACCACCACGCCTGGCCTGAATGATCTTTTTTAAGAAAAGATCTGGTCGGGCATGATTCAAGCCTGTAATCCCAGCACTTTGAGAGGCCGAGATGAGGGGATTGCCTGAGTCCACGGGTTCAAGAACAGCCTGAGCAGCTTGGCAAGACCTCGTCTCTGCAATAAATCAAAAATTAGCCAGCGTGGTATCACACACCTGTAATTCTGGCTACTTGGAAGGCTGAGGCAGAAAGATTGCCAGAGTCCAGCAGGTTGACACTGAGATGATGTGAGCGTACCACTGCACTCCAGCCTGACAGACAGACTGAGACTCCAACTCAAAACAAGAAAACATCCAAGAAGTAGAAAAGTTTATAGGAGAGGCAAGGAGATGGGGCACACTTCATCAATAAAGGTACCTGATCTCAAACCAGGGGAAGTGGGGTCCAAAGTCAGGCCCAAACTTTATCTGTACAATGACCATTTGTATACCTAATCCTGCATTGCACCCCACATTTTAAAAATAAATAAATAAATAGATAAATAAATGATATGATGATTATAAAGACTGTAGCAAGATGAAAAAGGGCTTATGATATTACAGTATATTATTAAAATAATATTAAATATGAATACCACTATAAATATACATTTAGAAAACAAATTATAGTTATGGTGAGATTATTTTATTTCCATTTTTGGTTCTATTTGGCATATTTTCTGTACTTTGTTTTAGGAATTAATTACTACTTAATCAGTTATACTTAAGTAATTAAAGAATAGAAAAATTGTAGAAAACCCTCCAAACTGGAAAAAGCCCTTAATTGATGGTGAAAAGGATTATGAACCACTACATCGAGCTTAGTCCCCGTATTTGAGGCAACTGGAGCTCAGGGACTAGGATTTGGGCATCATGATTCCGGAGCAATATAGCATACACTTCCTCTTTGAAAGTTGCTGGTGAACAGGTTATTCCAATGGCACTATTAAAGTAATGTTCTGATAGACTTATATTATTTTTTTAAGGGACTGATGGAGGGTTCTGCTCAGTACCAGGAAAGGCTAGAAATGGCAAAGAACTACTTCGAACTCTCAGTAAACCGGCCTGAAAGGTGAGTTATACTTAAAACTCCTACCACACAGTAAGATAGGTGGGTCGTTGGGTAGTTCTTTTTAAATAAAAAAGTTGGTTTGCTGTTGTTGCAAAAGTAATATATTCATTCAGTATAGAAAATATAGAAAGATGTGAGAAGGAAAAAATTTACACTGAAGAGTCAACCACTATTATCTTTTTGATTTATTGTCTTCCAGGGCTTTTTTTCCAAGTTGATTTTTTTATACTTACAGAAATTTTGTAGCCTGTATTTATCATGATCTTATATTTTCCATGGCATTACAAAGTCTTTATAAGCATAATTGTAAATAGCTGTACAATATTTCAGCAAATGGATGTACCCTAAATTACTCAAATATTTTTTACTATTGGGGAAAAAATTGCAAGTAGCTTAAATGTCCAACATTTTAATTAATGTTGTAAGAGATAATTTCATTCTCCATACCAGGATAACTTTTAAACAGTTTAAAACCAAACTTACATTTTCCTCAAGACCTGTTCTTGAATTCCCAGTGTTTGGAGTTTCTAAAAATAGCTAAATTAATATCATAGACTATTTTTTTTTAATCTCATATTTTTATTTTTAAAAAGATTTTATTTTTAATTGTTATGGATACATACTAGTTGAACATATTTATGGGGATACATATGATATTTTGATATACACAGACAGTGTGTAATGATAAATGCTTGAGGTGATGGATACCCCAGTTACCCCGATTTGATCATTACATATTGTTTCAGGTTGGTTCTATTCCAGGTACTGGGGATACAACAAATGAACCCAAAATGTCCCTGCCTTTAGAAGCTTACATGCTAGTGTAGGAGAAAGACAATAATCCCTTGTGTGTATTAGGGGATGGTAAGTGCTATGAAGGAAAAGCATGTCTGGGGACAGAGAGGTTGGTCAAGGAAGTCCTTTCTAAGGAGATTTTCTTTGAGAAGAGAGCTGAATGAAGTGAAGAAATGAAGCATTCTTTATTTGGGGGAATAACAGTTCAGAAAAAGAGAGCAAACAACAAATATAACATAGAAATATACACACACCATACACATACACACACACAGAAGCCTAGAAGAGTACTCATGGCAGCAGGAGAATGGACTGGATGGATTGGGATGGCTGGCAGTGTTCATGAAAGGAAGCATTAACTTTATCTATGATATTTTTAAAGTACATGATAAACCTGTTTAATTTTTGTCAGTTAAAAATAAATAAATTGGGGGAAACAAATAGGAAGAAATATTTTTTAAATGGAATCATGTTGCACATATTGTTCAGCAAATATTTTACCTAGTATAACTTGAAAAGCTTTTAGGTCATTACAAAATAGATGCATTGCATTAAAAAATATATAGCTAGGCCAGGCTCTGTGGTTCAGCCTGTTATCCCAGCACTTTGGGAGGCCGAGGCAAATGGATTGCCTGAGCCCATGGGTTCGAGACCAGCCCAGGCAACTTGGTGAGACGTTGTCTCTAAGACAATAAAATAGAAAATCAACTAGCACGTACCTGTAGTTCCATCTACTTAGAAGGCTGAGGCAAGCCGGTCTCGGTGGCTCAGCCTGTAATCCCAGCACTTTGGGAGGCTGAGGTGAGTGGATTGCCTGAGCCCACAGATTCGAGACCCGCCTGGGCAACTTGGCGAGACCTCATCTCTGCAATAAATCAGAAATTAGCTGGGCGAGGTAGTGCACGCCTGTAGTTCCAGCTACTTGGAAGGCTGAGGCAGAAGGATCGCTGGAGCCCAGCAGGTCGAGGCTGTAGTGGCCAGGAGCAGCCACTGCACTACAGTCTGAGTGACAGAGTGAGACTCCAACTCAAAAAAAAAAAAAAAAAAATTATATATATATATATATACACACACATATACATATGTATATTTATAGCTACATGATCACAGGACACTTCAAGTAGTGAAAAAAATATATAGCTAAATGATATTTCCAGAATATGTCATAATTTATGTATTTATTGATTGATGTAAAATGATTTTTTGCATTAAATGATATGACAGTCAAAAGAGTAATTTGGATGGTTATCATGGACGGTGGAATCCAAATGACTTGTGTTCTCTTCCTTTTGCTTATCTGAAGTTTTACATGTCATATGATGAACATGTAAAAAGTATGTGTATGTAGGTTTTGAATAAAAACAAAAAATGACATAATCTTTATCAGTCTCTAGATAAATTCTAAAAATTAAAGCTAAGATACTGTTATGAATCAAAATGTCTTTTCTTCTATGCTCCAGAGAACTAACAGCATGGCAAAAAACCCAAAATGTTCACACACATAATGTACCCACGGTTTTTCTGAGGATTTCTAATATCATAGCTGTTGTAGGCACCAATCCATTTTTCTTGTGCTGAATGTTTTGAAAAGCGTGAAGCCAAAACGCTTGGCTGCTCAAGTAATTCCTTTGTTGTATCTGGAGTCTACTAACTTCACTAGCCTTGTCCTGCCATTCTGTAACCATTTTTCATGGAAGATGGTGTACTCTTCTGTCTACAAAGATTTTTTGAATTCTATCCTTAAATACTGGTTCTGTTCACATTTTTTCTTTGGGGATTTCAATTAGCATATTCCAATTTATTCCATATGTTTTTGCTAAACATTTTTAGCACTTTATTTTCATTGCATTTAGCTTACTTTTCTCATCCCTGTCTTTTATATCTCTTCTTTTTGTTAAAATAATATGTTTTCTCTTGCATGAAATCCAATGAGCACTGATTTTTGGGGGGATGAACTTTATTTTTCTCTTTTCTCTAAGTTTCACCAGCTTCCATTTAACTTTTTCCTATTTTCTTGCCATGTCTTCTCTGAGTTCTCGTATCTCTGTTTTATGATCTTGCATTGTAGAGGAATTGCTTCACTAACTTTAAAAAAAATTATTAAATACAAAGGGTGCCAAAAGTATACACATTTTAAGAAAGAAAAAACTATTAAAATTGTAATACTCGACTGGGCTCAGTGGCTTATCCTGTAACCCCAGCACTTTGGGAGGCCGAGGTGAGTGGATTGTCTGAGCCTGCGGGTTTGAGACCAACCTGGGCAACTTGGCAAGACCTTGTCTCTACAATTAAAAAAAAAAAATTAACCAGGCTTCGTAGCGCGTGCCTGTAGTTCCAGCTGCTTGGAAGGCTGAGGCAGAAGGATCACTAGAGCCTAGCAAGTCAACACTGGGGTGGCTGCGAGTGTGCCACTGCAAAAAAAAAAAAAAAATTGTAATAATGTATACTGTTAACAAAAGATGAATACGGTCACGCTTGACTTCTGCAATTACAAGAGGTGCTCAAAGTGGTTACCATTAGTGTCCAGACACTTCTGACTACAACGAACTTAAAAGTAATATGTAGATAATATCTCTTAAAATGTGTATAAATTTTTTTGGCACCCCCAGTAATTATTCATAATTTCCATCAGCTTGTTGGCAACACTTTTCTGGTGAGTATTCTTTGTCTGTCATTTGTTTTTGTTATCACTGTCTTCCATTTGTCTTTATGTGTGTACACACACACACACACACACACACACACATATTTTATTGTGGGAAAATATTGGCCAGGCTTGGTGGCTCAGCCTGTAATCCCAGCACTTTGGGAAGCTGAGGCGAGTGGATTGCCTGAGGCTGCAGGTTCGAGACCAGCCTGGGCAGCTTGGCAAGACCTCATCCCTACAATAAATAAAAAATTTAGGCTGGGTGTGGTAGCACATGCCTGTACTTTTGGTTACTTGGAAGGCTGAGGCAGAAAGATTGCCAGAGCCCAGCAGGTCGACGCTGGGGTGGCTGTGAGTGTGCCATTGCCCTCTAGCCTGGGTGGAGTGAAACTCCAACTCAAAAAAAAAAAAATGTAGTTCAGTGGCATGAAGTACATTCACATTGTTGTATAACCATTACCACTATCCATCTCTAGAAATTTTTTCATCTTCCTAAACTAAAACTTTGTACCCATTAAACAATCGCTCCCCGTTTCTTCTTCACCCAGCCCCTGATAACCACTATTCTGTTGTTTGTCTCTATGAATTTGACTATTCTAGGTACCTCACATATGTGGAATCATATAATATGTGACATTTTGCCGGGCTCGGTGGCTCAGCCTGTAATCCCGCACCTTTGGGAGGCTGAGGTGAGTGGAATGCCTGAGCCCGCGGGTTCAAGACCCGCGTGGGCAGCGAGACCTCATCTCTACAATAAATCAAAAATCAGCTGGGCATGGTAGCGCATGCCTGTAATTCCGGCTACTTGGAAGGCTGAGGCGGAAGGATCGCTGGAGCCCAGCAGGTCGAGGCTGCGGTGGTCGGAAGCGGCCACTGCACTCTAGTCTGGATGACAGAGTGAGACTCCAACTAAAAAAAAAGTGATATTTTATGAGTGGCTTAGTTTATTTATCATAATGTCTTCAAGGTTCATCCATGTTGTAGCATGTGTCAGAATTTCCTTCTTTCTTTCTTTTTTTTTTTTTTTGAGTTGGAGTCTCACTCTGTCACCCAGACTGGAATGCAGTAGCATGCTCCCGGCCACCACAGCCTCAACCTGCTGGGCTCTGGCAATCCTTCCGCCTCAGCCTTCCAAGTAGCCGGAACTACAGGCACACGCTACCATGCCTGGCTAGTTTTTTTGTGATTTATTGTAGAGACGATGTCTTGCCAAGTTGCCCAGGCTGGTCTCAAACCCCCCAGGCTCAGGCAATCCTCTCACCTTGGCCTCCCAAAAGTGCTGGGATTGCAGGCTGAGCCACCGAACCTGGCCTCCTTTCTTAAGAATGAATAATATTTCATTGTGTGTATATATCACGTATTGTATATTCATTTTTCCTTCAGTGGACATTTGAGTTATTTCCACATTTTAGCTATTGTGAATGCTGCTGCTCTAAACATTGGTATACAAAAATTTTTTTTTTTTTTTGAGTTGGAGTCTCACTCTGTCACCCATACTGGAATGCAATGGCCATTCTCGGCCACCACAGCCTCGACCTGCTGGGCTCCGGCAGTTCTTCTCCTCAGCCTTCCAAGTAGCTGGAACTACAGGCACGCGCTACCACGCCCGGCTAATTTTTATTTGTTGTAGAGATGAGGGCTCGTCAAGTTGCCAGGCAGGTCTCGATCCCGCAGGCTCAGGTAATCCACTCACCTCAGCCTCCCAAAGTGCTGGGATTACAGGCTGAGCCACTGAGCCCAACCAAAATATTTCTTTGAGATCCTGCTTTCAGTTATTTTGTATATATATCCAGAAGCAGTATTGCTGGGTTGCATATAATTTTATTTTTAATACTTTGAGGAACCATCCTATTGTTTTCCACAGCAGCTGCATTATTTTACATTCCCACCAACAATGCACAAGTGTCCCAATTTCTCCACAATCTTACCCACACATTTATTTTCTGTTTTTTTTTTTTTTCTTTTCTGTTTTTGTTGTTGTTGTTATTGTTTTTGAGTCGGGGTCTCACCCTGTTGCCCAAGATGGAGTGCAGTGGCACATTCACGGCTCACTGCAGCCTTGACCTCCTTGCTTGAAACGATCCTCCTGCCTTAATCTCCTGAGTAGCTGGGACTACAGGTGTGTACCACCATGCCTGGCTAATTTTTTTCTTTTTTATGTTTTTGTAGAGACTAGGTCTTGCTAAACTGTTGCCCCAGCTGTTCTTAAACTCCTGGGCTCAAGCAATCCTCCCACCTTAGCCTCCCAAAGTGCTGGGATTACAGGCATGAGCCACTGTACCTGGCCCATTTTTTTTTTTTTTTAATAGTCATCCTCATGAATGTGAAGTGGTATCTCATTGTGATTTTGATTGGGATTTCCCTAATGATTAGTGGTGTTGAGCATCTTTTCATGTACATATTGGCTATTGTTATATCTTCTTTGGAGAAATGTTTATTCACATTCTTTGTCCATTTTTTAATTTGGATGGAGTTTTTTTGTTGTTGAGTTAGTATTTTCTATATAGACCTTGTATTAGTGGCCTTTCTTCATGGACCAGCTATTTACGGGAGACTAAATAGAAAAAAAGCCAGGGCTGTGTTCTAGACTAGCAGAGCTGGAAGTTTTTGTTTTTAAGAGACAGGGTCCCCCTCTGTCACACATGCTGAAATGCAGTGATACAATCATAGCTCACTGCAGCCTCAAACTCTTGGGCTCAAGTGGTTCTCCCACCTCCCAAAGTGCTGGGATTACAGACATGAGCCATCAAGCCTGGCCCAGAACTGTACTTTACTTTATGACCTAGGCCATCTACCTGAATTTTTAGTTTATATTTCTCATCTGCAAAACAGGATATTACTTCCTCATAATAATAATTAGAGGACTAAATAAGAAAATGTATTTAAAGCATATAATGTATGCAAGATTACTTTAGTTCTCCCCAGCAAAGGAATTAGAATATGCCATAAAAGTAATCATCTTCTGTGACTCTCTTTAGCATTTGGTATTTCAGCATGATTTTATTTTGCCTTTTGTTATGATTATTTGGTTATTTCTTTTCTCTCTCCTAGTAATATTTACATGATAAGGAGTAGGGACAATTCCCCATCACCCACATGATTATGCAAGGGATTGGCCAGTCCAATTTTTTTTTTTAGAGACAGTCTCACTATATTGGGCTGAACTTGAACTCCTAAGCTCCAGTGATCCTCCCTCCCACCTCAGCCTCCTGAGTGTTTATTAAATGAAAGCAAGTACTTTATGTATGTTTATTAAGTGAAAGCAAGTACTTTATACGACCTGATTTGCTCCATTCTTAATTATTTAGACAGGGGTCCATCAGTTTATGTAACAAGTGATGTTACCATTGTCACTCAATCATTAGCTAAATAATCTCCGTATGTATTTCCTCATCAGCTTATAGTAGGAGCAGCACGAGATAGTATCAGGAGACTTGACTTCAAGCCTTTACTCTGTCCAAGTAAATGACCTTAGAAAAGTTATGGAACTTCTTTGGCCACTAGTTTTCTCATCTGCGAAACAGGATATTACCTCCTCATAATAATAATTAGAGGACTAAATAAGAAAATGTGTTTAAAGCATATAATGCATGCAAGATTACTTTAATTCATACTTTCCTTCTGGATCTTCTTTTCCTCATAAGAAAATATGTATGTAGCTGGGCATGGTGGCACACATCTATAATCCTAGCACAGAGGCGAGAGGAGAGGATTGCCTGAGCCCAGGGATTTGAGACCAGCTTGGGCAACTTGACAAGACCTCGTATCTACAATAAATAAATAAATAAATAAATAAATATATATATATATATTTTTTTTTTTTTGAGTTGGAGTCTCACTCTGTCGTCCAGACTGGAGTACAGTGGCCGCTCCCGGCCACCGCAGCCTCGACCTGCTGGGCTCTGGCGATCCTTCCACCTCAGCCTTCCGAGTAGCCGGAATTACAGGTGCCTGCTACCACGCCCGGCTGATTTTTTGATTTATTGTAGAGATGAGGTCTCACTGCCCAGGCAGGTCCGTTGTGGCATGTGTCTGTAGTTCCAGCTACTTGGAAGGCTAAGGCAGAAGGATCGTCTGAGCCCCCAGCAGGTCGAAGCTGCAGTAGCCATGAGTGTGCCATTGCACTTCAGCCTGGGCAACAGAGTGAAACTTCAATTCAAAAATAAATAAATAAAATTTAAAGTGTGTGTGTGTGTGTGTGTGTGTGTGTGTGTGTGTGTGTGTAAATTGGAAGGGTTGTTCTAGACCAAGTAGCTTCATAATGGTGTTCCATGGAGCCTACTGCAGAGCCCAAGGAGAAAGCAAAATAGGTAGATCTTTGAGCCGCCATCCTCCACTTTAATCAAAGCCATTTTTCTTTGAGTTCTTCTATATTTTAGAGTTCCTGGTAAAATTGTATTTGAGAAAAAGAGGTCAGCAACTTAAAAAAAAGTGTGAAAACAAATTATAGCACTGCATGGTCACAGGCACCTATAGTACCAGCTACTCAGGAGGCTGAGGTGAGAGCTTAGGAGTTCAAGTTCAGCCCAATATAGTGAAACTGTCTCTAAAAAAAAAAAAATTGGACTAGCTAATCCCTTCCAGCTTTAAAATGCTGTGCTTTTATGATTACTATTCTAGGTTCTTTTACAAAGAAATACTCATGTCTTTTATTTTGTACAGTTCTCTTGCTCTGATCCCCGGTGAAGAAATCTTAACCTTACTACAGACAATACCATTTGATATAGAAGAGCTTAAGAAAGAAGAGGCTAATCTTCCCCCAGAGGATGGTAAGTGATGAAGTAGAACAGAGTAGAAGGATTAAAAAGAATTTAAACTTCCACTAAGTCTCACAGGGTCCTTTTCCAGCAGTACCTATCTTGTGACTATAGAAGAGCAGTATCATGCTTTCTTTTTTTTTCAGATGACCAGTGGTTAGATCTCTCACCAGATCAGCTGGACCAGCTACTGCAGGAAGCTTCTGGCAAAAAAGAATCAGAGCCCATTTCCAAGGAGGAGAAGGAACAGAACTATGACTTAACTCAAGTCTCAGAGAGCATGAAAGCTTTCATATCCAAAGTCTCAACCCACAAGGGAGCAGAGCTGCCTCGGTAATTAATGTTAAAGTCTAGACATAATACGGGGGCCCCAAAAAATGTATACATATTTTAAGTATGACATTTGCTCAAAAGATGGCATTAATCAAATGAATGCTAATGTCACCATGCAAGAGGCAGGACAGTCAAATAAAATGGCAGAAGCATGGTTGAGTGAACATCATCATACTACACACTGCTACCGTAATTCAATTCAACTTTAAAAAGTAATGCAGCCGGGCTCGGTGGCTCAGCCTGTAATCCCGCGCCTTTGGGAGGCTGAGGTGAGTGAATTGCCTGAGCCCGCGGGTTCGAGGCCCGCCTGGGCAGCGAGACCTCATCTCTACAATAAATCAAAAAATCAGCCGGGCGTGGTAGCGCATGCCTGTAATTCCGGCTACTCGGAAGGCTGAGGCGGAAGGATTGCTGGAGCCCCGCAGGTCGAGGCTGCGGTGGCCGGGAGCGGCCACTGCACTCCAGTCTGGGCGAGAGTGAGACTCCAACTCAAAAAATAATAATAATAATAAAAATTAAAAAAAATAAAAAGTAATGCATAGATAACATCCCTTAAAATGTGTATACATCTTTTTGGCACCCCTGTATATAGTTAGAACCCAAATGTTGAAGTCACAAATCATTGCCATTTCCACTCTTTTTTTTTTTTTTGAGTAAATGATTTGCACTTCTTTGTTTCTGTCTTTTTATGCCTAGACTGGTGATAATTTACTTATCTGAAGTCAGATTTCTAGTAGCCTGACCCTTTGCAAGCCTTGAAGTAAGTCAGAAGGACCACTCAACAGAGCTAAAAGCCTCCATCTAGAACCATGCATGGAAACCATGTATTTTACTCTTAGATTATTATTAGAGCCTAATGGACTCAACATTTAACTTTCAGCAAGTTCAGACTTCTGATCTCCCACCCCATAAGCAGATTGGAAGCTGCAAACTCAAAAGAAGGGGATAAAGGGATTCACTAGAGGCAGAAGTAATAACAGAAAGAATACGAAGTTATATTTGGCAAGTAATGGGGGGAAAGGCAGATAGAAAAAAGATTTTTTAAAAGGTAGATTGCTTCTGACTCAGCAAATATATCTTTATTAGCACTGATGTGCTTGAGCCTCGTGAAAAGACAAAAATTTATTTTCAGTATTCTCTCTTTGAGAAAACAAGGATAAGGAAAGATATGTTCTTATTTATTTTTTTAAGCTTTGGTTTTTAAAGGGATAAATTTTAAATAAACTCAGATAACTTTTTGGCAATGTTAGATGTTGTGGGGGGGTAAAGAGTGGTTAGGTAACTGAATCAGCATAAGTTAAATGTGCATCAATATGGTACAATTTTTACTTTTTAAAAAATCAAACTTTCACATTTCTATTGTCCTGCAAGTCCAGTAAGCACAAGGATTTTTTAGCTACAGTTTTCCTTGTTGTGCCTCCTTCAAGATTATACCTTTGGTAGTTTTCCTAAAAATGGGGAACAGTTGTGTTCAAGATAAATTAATTGTCCCTTCCTTTAATTTTGCAGAGAACCTTCTGAGGCTCCAATCACTTTTGATGCAGATTCTTTCCTTAATTATTTTGATAAGATTTTAGGTATGTGACAGATATTTACTTTCATTTTGGAACTGTAAGTAGTATGGCTGTTGCTAGAACACTGGAGAATGAGGTATTTCAGAAGCCAAAATATTTGCTTTTTCTTCATAGTTCTGAGTTGTTTTCAACAATGAATTACTGCCCTATTGAGTGATTTTATAGAGGCTGCCTAGCTCAGTACTTAACATACTAGGTACCCATTAAATATTTGTTGAATTAATAAACGTTGTATTTTTTTTTTTTTTTGAGTTGGAGTCTCACTCTGTCACCCAGACTGGAGTGCAGGG